TCAGATGCTGAACTTGATTTTTGGGTTTTGTACAGATTTGGAACCATAGCCAATAGCATTTGGAAAACTAAGATGGTTGTACACGTCTCGAGTCGTAGAAACTAGCATCTGCAAGACCGAGACACTGCCTTTCTTTTTTTAATCATCATCATCATCAGCCTGACTACGTCCACTGCAGGACAAAGGCCTCTCCCATGTTCCGCCAGTGAACCCGGTCCTGTGCTTGCTGCTGCCAATTTATACCCGCAAACTTCTTAATCTCATCTGCCCACCTAACCTTCTGTCTCCCCCTACCCCACTTCCCTTCTCTGGGAATCCAGTTAGTTACCCTTAATGACCAGCGGTTATCCTTTCTACGGGCTACATGCCCGGCCCATGTCCATTTCCTCTTCTTTATTTCAACTATGATATCCTTAACCCCCGTTTGTCCCCTAATCCACTCTGCTCTCTTCTTGTCTCTTAAGGTTACACCTACCATTTTTCTTTCCATTGCTCGCTGCATCGTCCTCAATTTAAGCTGAACCCTCTTTGTAAGTCTCCAGGTTTCTGCTCCGTAGCTAAGTACCGGCAAGATACAGCTGTTATATACCTTCCTCTTCAGGGATAGTGGCAATCTATCTGTCATAATTTGAGAGTGCTTGCCGAATGTGCTCCACCTCATTCTTATTCTTCTAGTTACTTCAATCGCGTGGTTCGGCTCTGCGGTTATTACCTGCTTTAAGTAGACATAGTCTTTTACAAATTCAAGTGCACTATTACCTATCTCGAAGTGCTGCTCCTTTCCGAGGTTGTTGTACATTACTTTCATTTTCTGCAGATTAATTTTAAGACCCACCTTTCTGCTCTCCTTGTCTAACTCCGTAATCATGAGTTGCTATTCGTCCCCAGAGTTACTCAGCAATGCAATCTCATTGGCGAAGCGCAGGTTACTAAGGTATTCTCCATTAACTCTTATCCCTAGCTGTTCCCATTCTAGGCTTCTGAAAACCTCCTGTAAGCAAGCGGTAAATAGCATTGGGGAGATTGTGTCCCCCTGCCTTACACCCTTCTTTATTGGTATTCTGTTGCTTTCTTTATGAAGCACTATGGTAGCAGTTGATCCCCTGTAGATTTCTTCCAGAATGTTTATATATACTTCATCTACGCCCTGATTCCGCAGTGTCTGCATGACTGCTGATATTTCTACTGAATCAAACGCCTTCTCGTAATCTATGAAGGCTATGTATAGTGGTTGGTTATACTCTGAGCATTTCTCTATTACCTGATTGATAGTATGAATGTGGTCAATTGTTGAATAGCCTGTTCGAAATCCTGCTTGTTCCTTTGGTTGATTGAATTCTAATGTTTTCTTTACTCTGTTAGCAATTACCTTTGTAAATAGCTTGTATACTACAGAGAGCAAGCTGATCGGCCTGTAATTCTTCAAGTCCTTGTCATCTCCTTTCTTATGTATTTCTTTTTTTGCAAGAAGGTAATTCTCAGATACATTATGCTGGACTGATATTTTGCTGTATCATGTTGTATTGTAGTGTGTTGTAGTGATGCCATCATAATTTAAGCTTCAGCGTACTGTTGCCTCTAACCAGCTGAAATATAGTAAACATGTTGGTATTTGAGTTATTTGACATGTTCCAGAATAGCGCCTCCGATAACTTACTGGTTCCATTTTGACAGCGTACGAAGTATCTTCAGTTGTGCTTGATTATTGGGTCGGGTCTAAGATGCCACTGAAGACGTATTGTAAAGTAGCCTCGTTTCTGAGATGGTTTTGTGATGTAAAACCCCAGCAATTATATAATAACAGTTTGTCGAATAACAAATGGAAAAATAGGGGAGATGAGTAGCTTAGAAGTTAAGACAAGACTTGCTGCTGTGACCAGAGTCTGGGCTTCTCAGCAAAATGCAGTTAGGAAGCTAGACTTTTCTGTCGAAAGAAATTCATAGCAGAGTGTTATTTCACCGCACAGGAGCATTGAAGAAAACAATTGCAAATCTTTCGTGGGCAAGACATTTCGACAAACACTGAAGGTGTCTTGACATAAACATTTTGCTTGCGACATTATCGACTCTAAAGAAAGTAATAATAAAGGTGGGCAATCTATTTAACACCATGAGTTTAATGAAATAAGTTGCCAGATACTGCCTGTATATGTGCGCATTTTTCAAAAGTGTTTTTTTGTGGGTCTATATCTGTAACCGCACAAGCTAAGTCACTTGATTTGTTCGAAGACCATTTGTTCTGCAACCCCATATTTTCGATATGGATACACAATTGGCTTAGTGTTGTGCAGATCTTGATTAGTACTATTACACTTCGCACCGCCTTCAAGTCGCACACTTGATGAAGCTGTGATCCATGCCATTATGCGTAGTCAGTGTGTGCACCAGTTTATGTGCTAATCTGTTGCATGCAGTGTTTTAAAGTCGTGGGTTGGATTCCGTAGCAGTCACATTTAGACAGATGCAAAATTCTAGAGACCCATGTGAGATGCGTTGTCAGTGCGTGTTAAAAGACCAGTTGGTCAAAATTTTTGGAAGCCATCCTCTAATGGCATGTCTTTTAACTGTATCGCGGTTTCCGCATGCAGAGCACCAGATATTATGTGTTCAGCATTGTGCAATGATCCATTAGAGATTGTGCTGATTAAAAGCCTCTCTTTATGGTATCGATCAGCAGCAGTACAAGCATGGGAAAAAGAAAAATTCTAGCTATAAGACATTAAACAAGAAATGTTCTGTACCTTTGCGAATCCTGTTGTGTTGGAAAACTCTCGCGAAGGAGGATCATATATTTTAGGTTTACAAAGCAGCAATTGACTGACTATGCTTTTTTTCTTTCCTTGAAGCTTGTGGCCAATGAGTAATATTGCTCTAGTTATAGATGTTTGTGTGTGTACGTCGTGGTATGTTACAGACATTGCTGATGTTTATTTCTTGGCCCTGTAGAAGATGGACTGGGCGTATCGGTAGATGTTTGCTGGCTGGCGCAATCGTTTCCTGTTGCACTGCTCATAATGCATGCGAACAGGTGCATAACACCTGTTCAGATTGTCTCATAACAGTTTGTTATTTACTACTATTGAGGAAGAACTTCACGAGCGGTTTGTCGATTCACATGTTTTTCTCATTGCAACTCATTTGGGCTCTGTTTTTATATGACATACCCTAAGTAATCTGAGGAGCTCTAAAGATGCACAAATATCCAACGACCCTACAGCAACGTGCGGCTCAAGTAGAGTTATTTTTGGACACCCAATACCTGTTCATATAAATTCCGACAGCAATAGCTGTTATCACCGGCCAAGGGATTGATCGTTACGCGATTGCTTTCTTGGACATTCTTATGGTCTAGCAAATCGGTACAGCACAACCTAGTGCGATTGTTTCCTGATCAATCACGCAAAGACCAAAGGTGTGTTTGCAGTGGTGTCACTACATGCATCTGTAAGTGATAGTGAAGACGAATGCATTATCGTTCAATGTATCTGCAAAGAGGAACATGTGAACTTGCTTCTGTATAATTCGCTAGTTTCAATATAATATTTTCTCGCATATAACCCACACCCTGATCTGCAGACTGAAAAGAATTAAAATTTAAACTAAAGAATGATGCATATAACCCACACTCCAAATTTCCTGTATATTTTGCACAGGTTACACGTGAGAAAACATGAAATGATCTTAAACGAGTCCGTGTCAAATTGAACTAAGCCATATAGCGCTCATCTACTATGGCATCATTCAGGCGTGAATACGTCTCCAATTCTTTAGTCACGTAATGTGCCTACAGATGTGCAGCTGTTGCGGCTATGTGCCAAGGTCTGTAATTTGATGTGCACTTCGGTTTTTCACATGTATTACCATTACTTCATTCATTATCATATTTCATTATTTGTTACGGTTCACGAGTTTGCATTGGTGTGTCGCACATTGCTTGAAAAGTACTTGTGCTATAACTAGAGTGACGTTACAAAGAAAGGTGCTACGGTATTCAACACCTTGTTAAATATTTTTTACTTCGAATGCTCACTGTGTTGTCGGGTATATTGTACATTGTACAGTACCAAAAAAGAAAGCAATATTTTGTACTGCTTCTGTGCTTATAAATTGTTGAAAATGCGTGCATGAAGTCATATACACCATCAAGAGCTGGCGTGACATTTTTTTGTTCTGTGTCATGTCATTTTTTGCTGTGCTGCCAGTCGGAGCAATTTACTGGCTGCAAGCAGTGGAAGGTTCGGAAATTCGAACTGGCCTCGGCAAACTGAATTCAACATGAATCTGATAGCGCCAGATGTGAACGAATCAAGTCATATGGAATACTTTTGGAGTAATCAACAGCCATTCTGTTACAGTGCGCCATAAAAAGGTTTTGTCATTTTTTTAATTTCCTCCACTGTATAAAAAGAAAGATTCTTTGCATGTATGGAAAGAAGTTTTGAGCTAGTGGAAATCGATGTATAACGTGTAAAATGTTCCTCGAGCAAGGTAGTCTGCTGCGTTGTACAAGTTCTCGCATGTTACGCTTACACTAAACTTGTGGGGATTAAGTTTGTCGTACGTTAAGGCCCATTTTTCGTTCGTGGAGTCGACATTATGTGATATTTGTTAGGCATTTGAAAAAACGTTCGTATTCATGAACAGAAGCTGTTTGTTTCAAAGACCAAGCTATTTGTTTCAAAGACCACGACCAGTAGGATGCTACAGGTTGATTTTTGAATATTAATGGAAATTTAGAAACTTGGCAAGAGGAATCTATGCGTCACGTTTCCAAGTGAACCTGGCCAATGGCTGAGAATGTGCAAAACGCTGGCCATCTATTGAAGTCAATGCTATGCTATCAGCATGCCAGCTGCATTTCGTAGCTACCTACCGTGGTTATGGAACTGTTGCGGTGACCTGGGTACAGGTACACAAAACCACCTGCTCAGCCGTGTCCTAATTAACCAGCTGGAAATATGTTCTAATTTGAAGTGGCAAGCAAAACAATGTAACGATTGTTCAATTTCTTAAAAAATATGCATTTTAATTTCAAGTTGACAATAAAACCATGCATTAAAACACAATTGCAAGAGCTTTGTTATGGGACCTTTAAAAGAATATAGGATTCACAATAAATTTATCCTTAGTACGAACTAATAGAAAAGCTCAATGTAAAGTGTAAGTTCGTGCACCATATATAGAAAAAAAGTAATATGAAAATGACTGGAGTGCTGCTATTACTATAATAATTGTAGTTGTACAGTCCACCATGCCTTCTCGAAAGTATTTACCATCAGTCAAGCAGAAAATGCCACAACGAATGATATACAGCACTCCTAGCTGCGCTACCTGCATCATTTTGCTATACAATTGTGATACCTCCAACTGCTTTACTGTTCTGTTAATAACTACTAATTACAACTAATGAAATTACTATGAATTGGTGCTAGTTAAATAATACTGTTTAAGTGCAATGTACTAATGCATACACGGAAACTACACTCAAAGCTCATAAGTTATATCTTGCACAAAAATAAGTTTGTTACATCTAAAAATTTGTTATAAAGGTTTATTCCTATTATATCTATTGCAAGACTATTTTCAATTCTTTAACACCAATATTTTATTACATCTGAATTCAGTATATCGAGGTTTCAGTGTAACTGGTCAGCGTTGGCTGGACCCGCATCTAAAATGACTCACGCATCGACGTACGCACTCCTCACCTGCCCTTTCCAGTCTCACAACCTTGACAGAAACTGAAACTCAAAGATAGGGCTAGGATGGGTTGCAAAATGGAAGCGACGAGACGTCGCCCCAGGTCGTCGCTTATACGTGGCCCATTCTCGCGCTGTTTTTAAAGTTCCAGAATGTATCAACCGACCCTCGCCAACGCACTTTTTCAGTTTATGACGGAAACACCGAGAATGCGTGCGACCGCCTCTTACTCCCGAATTTTGTTTGCTCGTAAATCAATTGGAGGGCGATTCACACGTCATCGCATGGTCACCAACTCTTCAGCCGACGTCGGATGAATGGCGACGCAGCTGTCAAAATGCGCCTTGGTAGCGCCCATCTTGATGGCGACGCCAAACCCTTGCAGGATTTCGTCGGCCGAGTCGCCAATCATGTGCAGGCCAACTACCCGCTCCTCGGGCCCCGCGCACACGAGCATCATGACGCACTTGGATTTTCGCTCGGTCATGCTGTAGTACATGGGTGTAAATGTGCTTCTGTAAGTCTGTAATGAAAGGAATAAATAGAAGACCAGTTAAAGGGGTCGGGATAGAGTTGCCCAATTTTTCGCAGTTTTCAGCAATAAAATACAGAAGTATAGGGTCCACTGCACCTATACATACATGAAGAATGAACTGTAAATGGATAATTCAGCGCAAACTAACCCCGGCAGTCGCTGGCTATAAGCCCCGCCTACTGCTAGTAACCATTTTATTCATGGTGTGGGTGGCATCGTGTGCTACACGGAGCGGGCCTGTTGTCTTCTACCAATGTTGCAGGCACTGCAAATCATTCAGTTTCAATGACAAGCTGATATAGCTCGATTGCACACGCAGCTGACCACTGAACAAAATCGTTTGTCGGAAAGCAGATTACTCTCCCAGCAAGTTGCTTGTTGCGTCGCGGCTCGCAAGCATGCCAGTGTTTCCCCACTCCCGGGCTGCCTGCACCTTTATAAAAATATTTATATAATCAAGTTCTCAACCAAATGCTCTTGAGAGTAAGCATCAACTTAGAGCTAACTGCAACGAAACCGATTCAAATAGTAGTACTTTTAAAATGCAATTTAGCAAAGTGATGACCCGGGTAGTTCGTAAAATGCACAACCTAGCAAGTTTCCCGACTTTGCATGCAATGAAAAATAACATATACACTGAAATTTGGCATAAGCTCTGATGTAAAGAACTTTCAGTTTTGGCACAAAATTAAATAACAAGAAAGCTTTGTGTTCATTTTGTGCAGCACAAATAGGGAAGTTTCTTTCTGCCAAACAGAGAGAAATAGTTTGAAAAGATTCCTTGCTTGTTTTTCTTTTTATTTCTTAAAGCTTTCACATTGCTAAGCAGCATAGAACATTTTTAACAAAGTAGCACAAAGCTACGGGCCTCTGGCATGCCTATCCTTGAACTGACACCAGAACTGAAAGGAATGAACTACAGATGGATAACCAACAAGCCGCCGCACTACCTTAGTCCTTCGTGCCGTCGCGCATTATTATATTTGACTTTGAACGTATCAAACTTTTTCAGGGCCTCTCACGTACTCTTATTTTACCTAGATTGCATCACTTGATACAAGTTTCAGCGCGCTAGAACAAAAAAAAAAAAAAAAAGACTGCAACTGCAACAACACGAATACTTTCCATACAAACTCGAAGCTTCGCACACGCCAGTGGGCCGCCAGACCATGGATGGAACCACCCACTTGGCAATATGGCAGTGCCCACGATAAAAAGGTCAATACCACCACGCTAACGGCAGTAAATCAAATAGGAGAAGTGCAGAACATACCTTTATTTCCTGTGCTCCATACTTAGCTTCGGCTTGGGCTAGCGTCATACCAATGGTTCCGATGGGCGGGTGGCTAAAGATGACAGTCGGAATGCTTTCGTAGACCAGCTTGCAGTCCGGCTTGTTGTTGAAGAGGCGCTCCGAGAGGCAGCGTCCCGCCGCTATGGCGACCGGCGTCAACAGCCACTTGCCACAGACGTCGCCCAGCGCGTACACGCCGGGACTGGTCGTGTTCTGGTACTCGTCCACCTGAACGGGACAAAGTAGTCACGACCATCTGTAGCCAGTTACAACCTCAGAAAAAAAATTCAAAAGCCCTTCCCCAATCAGGGGAATGAGGGAAATTGAAGCTTGAAATTGGTGTGACTGACAGACTTTCCTCTTTCTTCCATTCCTTCTTTGTTTGTACGCAGCGGTCATACCCAGAACGCTCTTTCAGGGTGGAACCGGTGTAGCATCTTTCATGTTCTTTCCAGCATTTGTCAGCATGTAAGTTTAATACCACTTTAGAAGTACGCCGCATTTCCTCCTCAAAAGAGGAAAGTCGGCACAAATTGGCACAAACTGGCACAAATCGGTGCACACTCCAGGCTGACACCATGAGCAGGACAGTCGGGGTCTCAGCCTTCAAAGGTTACTGCCGCGTGCGTCAGAGGGACTATTTATTTAGTCATGGAGACGATCGGTTGTCGCGTTTTGGTCATCCGGCCGGGCTTCTCTGGACTTCTTAAGCTATATCCAACTATAGAATGGCGCAACAAAAGGACCATCACGCAATCATGAATATGTGGTTTAGGGAAGTTGGAACTTTCCTAAAATGGCCATTTCCTGATATCGACCTTCTACAGCACACCGCTTCTAGTCCGCCAGCATAAAATACTGAAATAAAGCTCTCATAGCAAGCGTACTGCTTCCCAATTGTTTTTGCATTGTCGTTGGAACGTGCTCATGTGCTTCAGTTCAGATTAGATTGAGTAAGCATAATTGTGTGGCCTTCGGTTCAAGGCCACACAAATGCACTTTGAGACCTTGGGGACCTCGATTGCCAGCTGCGGACAGAAAATTTCTTTTGCTTTATTCATTATTTCTTTGGTGCATGCACACCAGGTGTGATTGAAGAGGGCTTTTTAAAACACCGCCAGCTACACATGTAAGTAAACAAGCTTCACTTGAAAGTACGAGTCCAACCTACAGCTATCACCATGCCTTCCAAAGAGAATTGTATTGTAACCTTGTTCCTTAAGTGCTTGATCATGATTCCAATGTCACTCCTCTTGCACTTTCACATCTGTAAGGCTTTTCTAATAAATAAATAAATAGTAAAATTTAACAATCATCAGCCCTGCAGCGTCGCTGAGATTCACTCGGCAGTGTTACACTAAAAAGAAACCCTCTTTGCCATCTGGAACTGTGCTTCCCTGCACTGTGCATTTTCCCAACTAATGGTGACGCCTGGGGAGCTGTTATCGATGTGTCTACCTTGTCAACTGTCCACTTCAGCCGCCAGTGATTGGATAGAGCTCGGCAAGCACCACATGCCCTGTTTCTTGGTTCTTTTTTTGCAACATCATTTTGACCGTCACAAAGCTATCGCAAACTCGACATGAATGAGCGGGATGAAATGGGCTCTATCACAAAGGATGTAGACGCCAGCGATCCTCTATTGACGCACATCTCGATGGTCATGCGTGAACTTTGATGGCATCTGCCCTTGAATTAGGTCTAATGCAACCGCTCACCTGACGCATCTAGAAGGTCAGTACGCAATCCTTGCATTGTTTTCAAACATCTGAAAACATTTATATGCAAGTTCAGATATGTCAGATTCGTCTAAGGATATGATCTGTCGACTTGGTCAAGAGCGCCATGACATCATGGCTCGCCGCTTTTTCGAGTAATAGAATGCGTTGCGCCGTGGTGGACATGTCCACAAAGTGGACACACAGAGAATAGCTCCCCTGTTGTGGTTCAAGTGGAGAGGGGGTCCTAGTTTGCCCATGCCGGGGCTTGTATATTATGCGTGTTTAAGTCGAGATAGCAGAGTCTACACTTTCCGTGTCATAGCACAAGCAAACTGTGCTTGAATACGCAATTTGCACAAGTCATTAACCGCCATTAGTTGAGCAAACTGCATCACACGAAAACTAGATTTACAATTATAAAAAGAGCCTATTTATGAACAAATTATCTGAAATGAAAAACTGCTGTAACTGGTTACTCGGCAGCCAAGAAAAGCCTCACCTTGATGTGACCAGTCTTATCAAGCTCAACGCCCGTGAGGTGGAGGTCAAGGTCGATGTGCGGCTTGCGCCCGACAGCCCAGAGGACCAGGTCGACCTCCTGGATCTTCCGGTTAGTCGTCGTGACAACCTCGTACCAGTGGGCCATCTTGGTGATGCTGGCCACTGTGCAGTTCTTCTCGAAGTGGACCCCCTCAGAGGACATGTGCTCCATGAGTGTGGCGCCCAGCATGGGCTCGAAGACGCGCAGGATGTGCTCTGTGCGCGTGATCAGCGTCACGGCTGCGCCGAGTGCATGGAAGACGCCAGCCAGCTCAACGGCGATGTAGCCCGAGCCGACAACGACGCACTTCCGAGGCAACTTTTCCAGCTGGAAGAAGCCGTCGCTGGTGATGCCATACTCGGCCCCTGTTGCGAGTGGAATGGGAGACAAAAAATTCAGGAGCCATTCTTCAGTCAAAGAAATAGGGGCAAGCGAAGCTTGGTATAGCAGTGTCTGGCTGTCAAACTTCCTTTCTTTTTAAGGTAGCAGTCGTACCAAGGACACTGTTTTCAAGTGGTGTCAGCTCGGTGCCTTTCATGTTTTTTCCTGTATTCATCAGCCTGCGGTGCTGCCCAATGAAAGGAACATCACGCGATCATCAAAAGGAGGTTTATGAATTCAAGTTTCTTGGAGACGAAATTTTCCTGAAGCACGCAATTTTCGATATCGACCTTACACATTGTACAGCAGATCACTTTTAGTGTGCCGACACAATATTGCAGTGAAACACCCACAGCAAGTGCACTGCGTCTAATTGTTTCTTGCGTCGTCGGCAGAAGGCATTCATATGCTTCTGTTCACATAAGGCATGCAAGGGCACATGACCTAGTGTTCAAACATTCGTTTTCAGAATTAGGGGACCCAGGTTCAAGCCCCAGCCCCGGAAAGAAAATTTATTTTGTATTATTTATTTCTTTGGTGCAAGTTTGCCAGCTGTGGGTTAGGAGGGCTTTTTACGAGTGCAGATCAGCGTAAGACATGGCCAATTGGACACTGCTTTTAGGCACTGGTCCACTTGAGATGTTTATTCAAAGCAGTATCTTTATTTCAAAATTCCATTCAACACAGCCGCATATTCTGATAGACCCGTTCGAAATGCAACCAGGCTGCTTCAACTTTGTGCGTCTCAGCTTTATGAATGTACGGTCTGAGTTGACGTCTTAGAACAGAAAGCTGACCTAGTGAAATCAGATCACGCTGTTGTGCATGTTTATTTATCACTTGAAACATGACCACAGAAACACTCTACATTACCTTCCTTTGTGTGGTGTTTTATAGGTGCTATACTTATTATCGATAGGTGAGGTAGCTGGCTTGGCTATCTCAACTTTGGTCTTTAAATAGGGCAGAAACTTAAGCAAGATGGCATTGCTTCAAACCTCAGGTCAACAGTACACAAAACAATCAGCCTGAAAAGCGAGAAATGATGCATTCTGTGCCTTCGTTCAGTTGTTTTGTTGTGGTTGCTGTTACACTAGTTTGGCCTTTCAGTTAATGGTCAAGTGTTTATGTTGTCTCTTTAAACGCTTAGCGCATTAGGTACCGAGCCAATTGTCCATCCACTGTCTCATGTCACGCAGTGTTCAATACAGGCCTAATATACTGACAATGCTCAAAACCAGTGCAAGGTAAACTTTATAAACTACAAAAATAACCAAGAATCAAAGGCAATAAATTAGCTAAGAGAGTGAAAAGCGCTCCTGAAACAACCGAACTGAAACCCGCACCACGCAAGAGAGGGCGCCACCGCCTCGGCAAGCGCGCGATTGCTAAGGGTTGCCTCAGGTTCCGCAGTAGTTCAGCTGCATTTGAGGATTTAGAACTACACCAAGGCTAACACAAGAACGAAATTTGCGCCTGATCTAGCGTGGGATATCGCAGAATCAGCACTACATTAGGTGCTGGATCCCCCCCCCCCCCCCCTTTTAGATTGAGCGCGTGTCTGTGCGCCTAATTTTGCTTTCTACAATTGTTCGGCTACGCTGCCCGACGCGCGAGCAATTCACCTGGAACTTTCGGGACTAGAGGTTCGCCGCCTGTGGCGATCAGAACATGTTCGCCGCTATACGCGTTGTGACCCACGTGCACCGTCTTGGGACCGACGAACTTGGCACGCCCTTTGACCAACTCGACGTTGCTTTTCGCCAGGTTCGAGCCGTAGATGTCGTTGAGGCGTTTGATGTACGCGTCGCGCTTGGCTTTGAACTTGGCCCAGTCGACGAGCGGCTTGTGGTGCACGTCGAAGCCGTAGTCCTTCAAGTCCTTCATCATCTCGGCCATGCTGGCGCAGTAGTAGCACAGCTTCTTCGGGACGCAGCCGACGTTGACGCACGTGCCTCCGAGAGGACCGCATTCGATGATAGCTACACGCGCACCGTATTCGGCGGCCCGGCGAGCGCTGGCAATACCGCCGGACCCAGCGCCGATGACTAAATAGTCAAAGTGCCTAACGGTCTTCACGATCGAAGACATCGTTAGTGTTTCGCGTTTACGTTGGGACCTAGCGGGAACGCAGAACGGGTACAGGAGCGGCAGAACGTTGGCGCAAGAGCCAACCACAAATCGAAGAGCACGCGCTCTGACCTAGCAGCTGCTTCGTGCAGTCACAGAGCACCTACTAGTCAGTGCAGCTAGCTGCCTTTGCCAGTGAACCGAAACTAAACCCGCTCGACTGCTGGCGGCGCGCACGTATCCAATACAATCCAGAAGACCGAAACAATCCAAAGAACGTAATTTTTCGTGTAGGTGCGTATGTCCGCGTGTGTTTCAATATTCGTTGTGTGAATGTGAGCGCCAAACTCGTAGCAAAGATGAACACGATAAAAGAAGGCAGCTACGTTGTAGTGAGAGGACAGAACAACACACGATTGGTCCAGGTGGACGGCAAGAAGTGAGTTCTAAACTTATCAGCACGTTTCACGCGCGAACTTTCGAGTGTTCGTTTGGCAGCTGCTTTGCCGGTGGTGCGTTTGTGATTGCGTGCCGTTTGTTTGTTTTTCGGCTTTAAATAGAGCAACTGTTCAGTATCCCGCTGACGCGCTCTGTAATCGCGTTACACCATCTTTGTTCAAAGTACCGCGGATGTCATAGTTCTGCAGCGGTCATGTTTGTGTGCCGGTCGCAACGAGCTGGTTTCGGTTTTGAGCGACTCTCTATTTTTGCTGTCATTCTAGGCCAGTATTCTTCGGCAAGAGGAAGTTCAGCATCCAAACGGCGATTGGGGAAGCTTTCGGTTCTATCTTTGAGATCGATAATCGCGATCTCCGTAAGGTATCGGCTGAGGAGTACAGAAAAAGGTGCTCGGAGTGTGAAGTTCCTGGAGACGGTAAGTGGTTATCGGTGTAGCCCATTGCTTCGGAATTCAGTTGAGCGTGCCTAAAGCGGAAGCAACGCTTGTGTCGTGCTTGAGTTGCGGGTACGATATGTCCACATGTTGTTACGGTCGCTATTCGCAGATGCACAGACTAGTGGGCAAGACAATAGGAATCTTGTCGATGACGGCAAATCACAGAAGCTTACAAGAGAAGACATCGAAACATTCAAAGCGGACGGCACGTCGGGTGAAGTATGTACCTCTCTCAGTAGCACGGATAATTGGGCTAGTTGCGATTGGTTTATCTTTTAACTGATTAAGGGCGCGCACACAGACACAAATCTGCGCAATTTCCTGTTCCAGTGTCTGTGTGCGCGTCCTTAATCAGTTAAAAGATGTACCTCTTTCCTTCTTTTTTAAGAGGCTCGAAGGAAACGCGCATCAAAGCAGTGGTTGCGTGTGAAAGTATGTGATGCAAAGCTGTGTTCTCGTTTCTTTTTTAGCTTCATTTTCTATTTCACGAAAGCTCTGCTTTGTCGCAAGTGAAATAGAATATGCATGGCCTGTCCACCTGTCGTGTACCTGTCATATTTTCCGATCTGAGAGACCAACCGTCCATAGAACCACTGTAGAGTGCAATAGACACAATCACGTGAATGGTATTGCACGATTTCCACGCGCATCTTCTCTGGCCCCTGCAGAGCATCATCAAGAACCTGGTGGAGAACAGCACGACATTTAAGGAGAAGACAGAGTACGCCCAGCGCAAGTACCTCAAGAAGAAGCAGGACAAGTACCTGCAGCACGTGACGCTCGAGCAGCCCACGGCACGACTCCTGGTTGAGATGTACTACTCACAGAACCCTACAAAGATTGGGTGAGGAGATTTGTGCGGTGCACGTGCATCTTTTCTTGCTTTGTTAGCTTAGACATTGCTCACATCAACAACTCTTACGTCTGCTATTCATATTGAAGCTCGGTGCAGCATTATGCAAGAAGATATGGGGGAGCAAAAATGCCACCTTCTTGAAATGGGGACCTATGCTTCGACAGAGTTCTGTACGTATGATGTATTTGTATGATTGGTGCGCTACGAGCAGCCGCCACAATGGTCTTGTGGTTACAGTGCTCGGATGCTAACTCGAAGGCCATGAAATCTAATATTGGCCACGAGGGCGGCATTTTCGACGGGGGTGAAAATGGTCAAGGCCTGTGCCCTTAGATTTATGTGCACTTTATCACTCCTCTACGTCCGCATCCGGGATTCAATCTCGTGACCTGAGGGTCAGCAGTCGAGAACCCAAATTATCCGGAGCCCTCCACTATGGCATCTGTTATTATCATATTTTTAATAGAGGTGAAAATGCTGTAGCGCCGTGTGCTCAGATTTGGGTGCACGTTAAAGAACCCCAGATGGCCGAAATTTCTGGATCCCTTCACTGTGTCATCTCTCATAATCAAATGGTGGTTTTGGAATGTTAAACCCCACATATCATCATGTCATTATTATGGTTTAGGGACGTTGAATCCCAGGAATTATCAGATAATAATTATAATTAGCATGTGGCTTGTGTGCGGCATGTTTCTTTTTGTTGTTAACAGTGTAAATTCATTCATTTATTCATATCTTCACCACCCCCATAGCCCAGCTTTTTCTTCATCTGTCTCTCTATACCTAGCATATACCATATACCTAGCAGTACCCCCTGTTTCTAGCTTGCAACCCAGTTTGGAACAAATCAAGTCGACTTGCTCCAGTACCTAGAATCGACTTACATTGATTACAGGCGGGAATCACATTGACTTGCCATAGTACCATGCAGGAACATGCGCATCGACTCCCTGGCTCAAATGCTGACCTGTTGCAACGTTCGTTCGGGTGGCCGCTACATAGTATTTGATGCCTATCTGGGTCTCCTGACCGCTGCCGTGCTGGAGAGGCTCGGGCAGGATGGCACCGTGGTGCAAGTCTATGCCGGACAAGGACCAGACAGGTGTGTGCGTGACCTTTGCATTCATGTTTTGTCCAAATTGGAACTGCATTCATGCAGTCGCAAGGTGCATTTGTAATTGAAATTCACAGTGAGTCTTACGAAGACGTGGCGTTCTTGTCCCAATGACACACGGATGCTTCATTTCCAACATTTGCCACAATGCATAAGTCTGCATGATTGTTTTATTTTAATACCTAATAGTACTATAGTTTTTCCAAAATTGATATGATCAAAGTTACTAGGTCTTCAGTTTAAAGAAATTGTGACGTCTTAGCAGAGCGTGTGAAGAGGTAGATAAAACCCACTGTCGCTTCACTGGTTTCAGTGTATTTATCTTAAATAAACCTGCGGATGTCAGTGACTCCTTGATTCTTTTTACTAAATTAATGACAGTCGACAACAGTGAGAAGCCTTTGTCAGTGCTATGTGTCCACTTACGCCTGAACTTGAGAATCTATAGTGTGACCACATTCTTACATTGCATTTGGCAAAGCAGCATTTTCATGCCATTGTGTTTGGGTCAATTTTCACCTCATTCATTGTTTTGTTAAGGGACTTCAATGACTTCAACCCTGAATGAGATTCAAGTCCTTGTTGCGGTATGTATAAATGAACCGTGGCAAGCAAGACCATGCCTGGCCTATTTCTTATATCTACCAACTGCTTCTATTAGCACAAAGAGATATATGTTTATTATGTTTTGTTATTTGGACAGCATCTGGAAACTGTTTTAAAGAAAAATTCTTTACGGAATTTTTTTTTTTTCACGTAGAGCTTTACCCCTGCTTTCAAAGGTGGAGCCATTTTCACAATCTGGAGATTGCTGTTAAAATCGCTATTCAAGTTGTCACCTTTTGTATCGCTATAACTAGGAAATTCAACCAAGCCTTTGCACAGTTTAACTTGGCATTAACCAATATTTTCTCTTTGTGCTTGGTCCCCTTTTAAATAAAATATGTGCAATTTGGAGGTCCATTACCTTCCGTACTTTTTCACGTATAAGCTGGCTCTGCATATGTAACCCGCACCTTTTATTACAACTTTCATATAAGCTTTCGGAAACTGCTTTGAGTATTACTCTGACATACCAACTGTGCAAATTTGACACCTTGATAGAAGTGGCCACTAATGGAACTGAGCTTGAACGTTTCGAACACATTATCACTCGTTTTCACTCCCCACATTCGCTCATCCGTCCTCACCTCAAGTCACTTTCGGCCATCACTGTCCCGCGTTTACCGTACCGTCATAAGTGCAGTAGCAACCTTTCCAATTGCCGTCATGTGCACGAGAGTCATGTGACCTGTGCAGAAAATTCTCATGCGACATCATTTGTGGGGTAGTATGTCGCTGCTGACTCTGGCTCAGGCATTAGTGATGCAGGCGGAATGGTAAGTCGTGAAGCGGCACGGCGTACGTTGCTGTCCCCCCCTCCACTTTTATGGCTCAGATTAGCGACTTATCTTGGCAAATTATCGATACATATGCAGTGCCATGCAGAACCGTGCCTCCTCTCATTTGAATTGAATGACGATATTGCCGCATGTTGTTAGGCACCTACTGAAGTCTTGCGCCGCTTCCTGCTCCTATGAATTCTGCCAGACCAACTGACAAGCCAAACGCGCCAAGCTATAAATGCGCCATGCAACGCTAGCTGCACGTGTCACCACACCACGCGCTGGCGTTGTATTTGTTCGTTCCAATATTACGTCACATACGACGTTTCCCTCATGTGTCACATGACTCCTGCGTGTGACGGTGACCGTAAGTTCCTCTACTGCTTTTTTTAGGAGTTTACAATTGTTTAAAATTTTGAATACTTTTTGAATAGTGGTTGCTATTTGATTTGCGCTAGAACTTTACAATTCAAACTTGGTGTTCGAGCTTCCTGAAGACAAATGCAGCCAACGTTCAATTGACAGTGGTCCCTTCAGATTTTCAACATGCTTCACCTCATGACATTGTTGCATTGTGAAAAACCTGTCTTTCAGTCTTTGCTGCGGTTGCAAGTGTACTGACTAAAAAAAAAAAAGCTGGTTTAAACATAGAGATGAGATTGATGTGGCAGAGGTGGGGACTCTGTAAATGTTGTTTTGTTTTTGAAATTTGGGTAGGAAGCTCCAAAAAATCGGACCCCAAAGATTGTTAGCATCCAAAGTTGCAGATGTTCTTACATATTGATGTCTGTGAGCCAGATTTGCAACTCCATACTTGAATGAAGCACTCCCGTGTCTGTGGCATCAGTTGGTCATTCCTTGAGTTGAAAGAGGAGGAGAGGCTGAGGAGATAGCTCTCTTGTCTCTCATCCTTGGGCCACTCCTGTTTATAATTTATGTAAATGAAATAAATGCCAAACATTTCAAATCAAGCAAAATTTATCTCCTATGCGGATGACACAGCAATATTCATTACTGCTACATCGAGATTAAACTTGAGCATCAAGGGAACATAACGCTCAGAGAATTTAAAAATTGGGCTGAAGTGAACTGTTTACAAATAAACGCCAGCAAGACAAAAGTCATGGTTTATATGCAAAAAGGCAAACAATTGCAAAGTTCAATAAAAATGAAGATAAGTGCAGATGATGTAGAAGTTGTCAACACAGTCTCCACATTAGGTGTAACGTTTTCGAAGGACCTAAGTTGGAACGATCACGTCGAACATTTTAGTAAAATGCTTTCTTCTGCTGTAGGAACCATAGCTCACTTAAAGTATTTTCTTCCAGTTAACATTAAAATTTTGCTTTACAGTGCTCTAGTGATTTCGATTCTACAATACTGCAACCTTGTTTGGAGTTCGACTACAAAGAAAAACCTAACAAATTACACTTACCGTAATTACTCGATTCTACCGCGCCCTCGATTGTAACGCACACCCGATTTCCACGACGAAAAAAAAAACGTAAGACATCGATTGCAACGCGCACCCATTTTTCTTGCTGGCCCGCACGATCACACCGCTCGAAAAAACGACTCCTTTCGGGAGCGTCTTCCATTTAAATATGAGGTACTGCGAAGCTTGTGCCCATCTGACGTGTAACAGAGCATTGCCGTCACTGTAGTTTTACCGTGGACCCATGTCAGCACGCGAACTGGCTTCACCCCCTTCTTCTCGACGGTTGTGGTGCCAGGCATGTCGAAGTAAAGAGGCGTCTGATCGGCATTCCCTATTTGCCCAAGCAGGTAGCCGTTGTTGTGCCGCAAGTTTAGGACGAACCTCTGAAAACTGTGAAGCTTTTCATCGTACTCCTCCGCAAAACTTTTCGCATATGCCAGTTCCCCTTCGGAGGGAAAAGCCTTTCCTCTTCATAAAGTTAGTTAGCCAGCACCTGCTCGCTTTAAACTGGCTCCGCATTAGACCTTTTTCTAAGGCTAATTGCATAGCCCGCCTTGGAGCAGTTCTGTCGTCACGGGCCGCCGTGCCGCTCGCTGCTCAAGCACATACTCGCCGAGCAGCTCTTTAATTTGCGGAAACTGACCCTGCTGTGGTCCACTGAAGCCTTTGCGTGAAGCTTTGCTGTCGACAATCTTCTGCTTTCGTTTCCGCCCGTCCCGTACGCACGTTTCGGGAACTCCGAACGACCGCGATGCAGCCCGATTTACGTCCGTTTCGGCACACGCGATGACTTTTCTTTCAAAAGAGGCACCGTGGTGCACTCGTCGAGTTTTTGGAGTCGGCCCTTCCATGTCGTCGAAGCTAATGCACACCAAGATGACGAACTCCTCAGCATACGTACGAAGTGCCGCACATAGGAAACACATAGGCAGAAATGGCCGACGCACGTAGGGGGCGGCCATTTTGGAATTCCGATGGCAATAGAACGACCATATTCATTTTTTTTTTCGTACTCGATTCTAATGCGCTTGCGATTTATGAACTCGCTTAACCGGAAAAAAGGTGCGCGTTAGATTCGAGTAATTACGGTACTCCAGAAAAGAGCTGTGCGCTCAATTGCCAATGTTCCATGCTTATTTTGTACAAAAGATCTGTTAGTAAAGTTTGATATTCTACCTCTGTTTTTTTATACGATCATCACTTAATTTTAACTTAGAAGTCGTAGCTAAAGTCCAATATTTCTATTACACTTTCGCTGGCTGGTTTGAATGTAAACCGCAGTATTCGTCATACTAGGCATAACCAAAAATGCCATGTCCCTATACCTCGGAACAAATATGATGAACAATCATTAAAACATACAGTGCCAGTCATACTTAATAAGCTTACAAAGGCTGATTTTGATCCTCTGTGCAACTCTAATCAAGAAATAAGACTATTTTGTCAGTCGTGCCACAGAGATTTGTAACATTGTGCATAATATATTTCATTTTCTTTTTTTTTTCTTACCCTCGTGTTTAAGTTGTGTAGAACATGTTACCAAAAAAGCATATACACGTGTGTATATAGACCTGCTTATATATATTTGTGTATAGGGTATGAATATGTCAATCCGCGAAATCCGTATTTCCATTCATAAGCACATATTTTCTTGTGTGTACATATATAAAATATATATTGATGCATACAAGCTTTCTGTTTTTTTTTTATTGCAACTGTATTGTTATCGTGTATTACTTTATTTTTAATGTGTTGCACTTATTCGTTCTCTGCAATGTGTTGCTGTCATTTGTAAAGGGGGCAGGACCTATCTCAATTCACGCTTACACTTCAGTATTCGAATTCACTTTGCACCCAGAATTTCACTATTCACACAGCTCTACTCTTTAGGATATGGTAAGACGTATCATTGCGGACTCTCCAGCACTGCCGTGAAGCCACCATACGCACTAAAATATGTGCGTGGGCAGCACTCTGACTGTAGCTCCAAATTTTCTGTATTTTTTGAGTGGGTCGTGTGCAACAAAATATGGCAAATACAAATTAAAAACCTGTTCTTGTGTCTAGCCAGTCACAAGACCTACTTTTTTTCGCTGCCCATTGCAGCTCATACAGACAGGCCGTCTATGCACTGAACTTGGGAGAGGAGTTTCTTCGATCCATTGTGCTCGAATTGCCTTACGTGAAGGCAAAATCACTGCTCATCGACCAAAGCAGTGAAACGCCAGAAAAAAAGCCGGAAGACGACAATGCGTGTGCTGAGATGGAGGACTTGTCGGACAAGAATTCTCTCTCGAACAGTGATGGGACGATCGACAACTCCCAACCGAGCAACGAGTCGGCATCGGCAATGAATTCGAAGGTTGGTGACTTCGAATGTCAGTTCCAGGCTGTCGCCTCTCTTTTTTGTATGCTGTCGATCGCTCGCAGGTGTTTATATAGTCGGTTAGAACTAAATCATAAATGCGAACTCTACCCGGGAAACTGCAGCGCGCCTGTCTGTCACCTCTTTTAAACCCGCTGGTTTTCATTCTGAGCATGAGTATTTTGCCTCTGCTGATGTAAACTCTAGGCAAATTAGTAAATGAAAGTTTGGCTTTTACTACTGGGATATTACTTCTGACTATGTGCTAATGCCAGAATCTGTGGTGAAACTTGTCTGGACGTTCAACTTATCTATCTATCTATCTACAACTAGTGGTACAAATGTACGTCTTTATAGCAAAGGTTGACGCTCTAAAATGCAGAAAAATTACCGACGAATCGAGCACACACAATTGGATGGAGTGCCTATGCAAATCATTCTGGATTTAGTGAGCAATAGCAGAGCATGTAATTTTTCCAGGGTTGAAACCAGCTGTAGTTTCGAGTCTAGTGGTTAAACGCATAGACGGAATGACCTTCTTTTGATGACTTGTCGTCTGTCTGAAAAACACTGTTCTCATTTTGCACAGGAGACATTATTGAGCGAAGTCTCACTCGACCTAACTTTCATAATCCGCCAATGGTCAATTCGCAGCATTTTTAGGCGTCACCTAAGAAGGAAGAAACTAGGAGTGAGCACTGTGTGACGATATTGAAGCCTAATCTTGAAATATTCACGAGAGAAATGGGCCCCGGTGGTGTGGTCGGCTAGCGCTACTATTAGTTGGTTCACTTTGGCTGCACCTTCTGCAGGGGCCCCACTGCACACAGATTTAAATGGACAGAGGTTGGCTTGCCGAGGCTAGTGGAATCACATGCTACTCTGCCCATGCATAGTGTCATCCTGTTCTTTTTTAAAATTTCATTTATTTATTTTTATTGTTTTAAACTGTCTTCATGTACAGTCATGTATGTCCCTCAGTAGACTTGTTAAGACAAACTCGGGATCTTTGCCCTTGTAGTGCCGGCTCCGAAATGCCCAGTTATAGCGGCAACTTTTTTTCATTCCTGTTTCATCTAGGACGCAGAGCGTGCGGTGAGGAAACAGCGAAGGTTGCTGGAACAGCAAAAGGCGATGGATTTGCTCAAAACGAAGTCTTTAGACGGGTGAGAATTTATTTAGTGATACCCTGTGCTTTCACATCGTTCTAGAAGAGCCCGTTGCTGAGAACTGGTGCAAACAGACATCCAACAAGTGCATCATGTAAATCGCACACTGATAATTGTGTCTCCGAGGCATCAGAATGGTAAATTCATTGTCCTTTCCTAATTGTTACAAAGCACATTCATATCAACTCAGCAGTTGGATGACCAGAGAATCTCCACACTTTCAAACGCAGACATTTCCACTCAAAGGGGATCTTAAGGAAGTCAAGTTCGATAGTACTCGTAATGAAAAATCGCTCATAAAAAGATGCAAAGGTTGTGCCTCATTAAGGTTTTCCTTTCGAATGCGCATTCAAAACTTCCAGGTGTTTCGCCTTTTAAAGCAAGAACCCTGCCCTTCACGACAGACACTTAAAAGTTTTTTTGCTCTGGTTCTTCACCGCATGACACTGCCCTATTACGAGGAAGTCCACTAAAACAAATTCATCGTTATTGAATTTTAGTAACATCCTCGCTCTTGGAGCCACGCATAGCTTGAATCGCGCCCTTCACGACAAAAACTTGTTTTTTTTCTCTGGTTCTTCACCTCATGACACCGCTATATTACGAGGAAGTCCACTAAAACAAATTGTTTTAATTGGTCTCACTTTTCATGCTGTGCTTGCGCTGTTCTAGTTGGCAGTGGCAGTACCGTTTGAACGGCATGGATATTTCCAATGATGCAATTGATCAGTTACGATAAATGGAGTTGTGGGAGCATTGAGTGGAGCAGCATTAGATACGTTGAGTACGGAGGTTCAGCACACGCCCAACACTTATGTTGTATTCTCAGGAGCCGTCAGAACTGTGCGGTATGCTAATACAGCTGAACCTAGATATATAAAAACTGAAGGAGATCACAAAAGAGGTCTATGTAGTATTATGGGCAATTCAAAGTACAAAATATTTTACGTATTGAAAATATTTTCAAGAGGATTTTACAAGTGGTTGATATACACAGTAATTTGTTGTATGTAAGTTCGGCTGTAGTCCTATATATCCAGGATGGATGGAAATATTTGAATTTTGCAGTTTTAATTGGTCTCAACTCTCTAGTTAAACTTTCCACTTCAGTAAGTAAAATGTTTACGGTTGGATTTGCCTCCACATTGTGCATTTTAGTACCATTGCCACATAATATTTCACTAATTAGTTCATCACATCAATTCATTTAATTTCATTCACTAACAGTGAAACATTTTGCATCCAATAATAGTTCCCAATCTTTGTCGATACTCGCAGGCTCCTTATCACTAGCAAACACCATCCGACGGGCATCGTCCTGTCGCTCCTAGAATTCGTCGCACCTTCCAGACCATTCGCTGTCTTCTGTAGCTTTCGGGAGCCCTTGGTCGACTGCTACACTCAGCTGAAGAGTGCCGGCAGTGCCGTCTTTCTCAGGTTGACCGAGAGTTGGCTACGAAGCCACCAGGTGAGCAGCAACATAATTTTGGTCAGTTAGTTCACCTTGAATGTAACTTGAAGCAGCACAAGGAGATGAGGATGAGAAAAAGAAAGGTACCATGACAAGATGAGCTCTGGCCCCCAACTGAACTTTATTCGAGCGAGGTTTGTATTGATTTACTTGTATAGCTAGTGGTGTTCAAAAAGAATCTCCACCCACAGCTGGTATCAAAGAAACTATAAATAAAATGAATTTCCTTCCCTGTGCCGAGGTTTCAACCCAAGTGCCCCCATTCGAAGGCAACTGCTGTGACCACTAGGCCATATGCCAATGCTTGTCCAACGTGAACTGAACTGAAGCACATGAATGCGTTCCACCAATGATGCAAAAGACAACCGGGAAGCAACACTTGCTCTGGGTGCTTGATTGAAGTATTACGGGTTGGCGCACTAAAAGCGACCTGCCGGACGATGTGCGAGGCCGATATCAGGAATTGCAAATTTCAGGGAAGTTCAGACTTCACAAAAACTGAATTCCTAAATCATGTGTCCACGACCACATGACGATCGTTTTGTTGGGCTATCCCACAGGCTGGCGAATGCTGGAAAGAGCATAAAAGACGCTGCGTTGATTCTGCCCGAAAACAGTGTTTCAGGGACAGCCTCTGCCTATAAGAGAAATAAAGGCAGTATGTCAGACATGCCCATGCCAAGCTTTATTTGTCTCCCCCCCCCCCACTTGCCTGTTTACAAAAGGCCTCCTCAATTTTTTTACTTTCGCTGGGTTTTAAAGGCAATGTCCAGCCCGAAAACAGTGTTTCAGGGACAGCCTCTGCCTATAAAAGGAATAAAGGCAGTATGTCAGACATGCCCATGCCAAGCTTCATTTGTCCCCCCCCCCCTCCCCCCTTTCCCCGTTTACGAAAGGCCTCCTGAATTTTTTTACTTTCACTGAATTTTAAAGGTAATAATCAGCCCGAAAACAGTGTTTCAGGGACAGCCTCTGCCTGTAAGAGCAATATACGCAGTACGTCAGACAAGCTTTATTTGTCCCCCCCCCCCCCCCCCCCCCATTTCCCCGACTAGGGAAGGCTTCCTGCATTTCCTTATTTTCGCTGTGTGCCAAAGGTTAAGCTTGCTCTGATGCAAGTGTTCGAGTTGAAGTTAAGCCAGTATGGTGTGCACCAAAAGTGGCAGAAACTGAAGCTTTGTTCGTGGTCAGTTGTGAACAAAGGTTCCATATGAAAGTCGAAATGTCTTTCGTTTTAACCTTCTACTTGGGTGGGCGTACTTTAATGAGGAGAAATGTGCAAAGCATGCCACTGATTGCTGTGTGGAGACTCCAACATGTGGGACACGTGCCCCGGCATGATTTTGGCAGTAGTTGCTGCTTTTCCTCGGCGAGCTGTTTAACTTCATTCATCCACGTCACTTTTTATTATTCCTGACCAGCTAAAACAATATGTACACTGGGGCAATCTTATGTAGGGAACGAGAATTCAAAGATCTTGAAGCAATGTAGGTTCCTCATGCTTCTATTTTTTGTTAATGTGAGGTACTATATCAACTCTGGGCTGTCCAGAGGGCCCAAGACGTGGCGGTGAGGCTCGGCCTACCCGTTCCGACGTGGGAGCGGCCCGCTGCTCTACCTCCTTGAGGTAGTGTTCCTCAGGACCTTAATAAAGTTCTGTGTCTGTCTGTCTGTACTATAGTTTACTGTATGTAATGATGCGTATATATAAATTTCAATAATGCAGCAGAGCGTAGTGAGCCTTGTCATTTTAGATTAATGTACTGTTTCAAATTACGGTGGACTATTGACAGTTCATACTCCGATATCTTGTGTGCTCAATTGATTGCAATTAATTTCCAATTTTTGGTTGGCTCGCTAAACTTCTGATATGTTAAGAAGCTGTTTAATTTAAACTGCACCGTTTGGCGAATTTCGTTGAATGCATACATTTTGCTTTTTCTTACCAGAAATATTAGTTATACCTTTGTTCCTTCTAGGTGAACACTTCCGCTCACATATTCTTTGCAACACTAAAAAATGAGGACAATTACTTGCCCAAACTTTTCAAAGTAATGGTCAAAATCATGAGAAAAAGAAGAAACAACTATAGTGACAAACAATAACTGCCCGTCTGCTTTTCCTGATATGTTTAACCTAGTCGTGCCGATGCTTGTCTTGGATGATTCAAACAATATTCAGTGCTCTCCTCAAGTTTAATTTATCAACAGTCTGCCATAGTGTAAAATCCCAGCAGGCATTCATCTGTGCACTAAGTTGAATGCTTTGTATTTCATTCAAAAGAAAAGCTTGCACTCTTGAACGAGGCCCTGAAAATGCAGTGTCCTCACAATATTTAAACACATCACAGGTGTTGCCCAACCGGACACACCCTTCCATCAACATGAGCGGCGGAGGAGGCTATGTGCTCACGGGCATCAAGGTTGCCGACGATGCGTGAACGTGAGCGAGCGATCCTCTCACACCCAGTGGTACATTTCGTCAAGCAACAAGCGTCTTCACTAGTGTCCGTCGACTTTCTGCAGAAACTTGATGCATGGGAACGTTTCCGGATGCAGGCATCCAATCATGGATCTGTGTACATACCATGTCTCTTGAAGCTCCCACGGTAAAGTGGTTTGTTGGGGCTATGTTTGAAATGAACTGCGAAAGAGAACATCTTTGCAAAAACATCGAAAGTTTTTTATTGGTCTGTACATAAAGTCTCCCTTTTCTACAGACTGGATGTATACTTACACATTGATATGCTATACAAGAAACACGGATTTAATAAAGCAAAATGGGATGTAACGAACTATTGATTATTACATATTAAAACTATTGCCATAAATGCAGTGTTATAAATACACTTCAATATTGAATTTTCGTATATGACACTTATTTTAGTGAAAGACGCGGCTTCGTTACTCTCTCAAGCCTCCATATAACGAACACAGATGTAACAAAACATTGGTTAGAACGAATTAAATGAGAAATAGTCTTGCATTAGATAGTGTTGGGAATAACCTTTATAACAAATTTTCGGATATAACAAAGTTATTTTCTTGTAAGATGCAGCTTCGTTATAATGAGGTTTGAGTGTAGTAAGGTTTGAGCAGAGAAGGTTCAAGGAGCTTGCTTAGGCTTATTGAAGATACGATGCTTGTACACTAAAAAACGCCCACTAATGATGCCCTATGCTTTTCTTTAACTTTATAGAAACAGTTATCACAGGTTAGTTTTCTCAGCATCTGTCTCTTGGTACGTGCTTCATTTTGCTTTTAGAGAGAAATTTTGCAAATGTTTAACCTTTGAATACATATTATGAGTGCATTCAACAAAAGAACCAAGGTAGCTCCCATACCTTTGAATAAAGCGAACCCTACAAGGAGCGTTCGCTTGATTGACAGTGCCGAGACTCTGTGTTCTCAGAACATTGTTTAAGGGTCCCTGCAACATTTCTTCAGCATGGTCAGAAAACGCTGCCGATCGATATTCGAGACTCCCGAGAACATGCAAGCCAAACAAGGTAGCGCAGCATACAGACCGCAACTTCCAATTCATTTTTAAATTCGGGATAGAAGTCGCCTCCTTTTCTTTTCATAAATGATGCTATACACCGAAATTCATGGCCAATGGCTAACTTGAACATCGTGAGCTGCACATGTACGTCAGCTATCACATTGAAAATGAGCCGCACTCCCAAAGGAAAAAGAAAGTGCTCAAGGTCATGACGTGCGTCTGATGTAACTTCTTCATTCTGTGCCATCCTTCTCCGATTAGCTGCCAGCATGCTTCTTGACGCGAGAGAAAGCAATTACAGTGTGCGAAAATACTATTTAACTTCGCCCGTACTTGACGAATTCTAAAAATTTTTGCGGCAGTTCATTGGTGTGGCAATATACTCCTCTAGTGAAGCCATTTAATGGGTACTCAAATATTTGTTGCTGAGCTCCCCGGAAGGAGTACTACTGACACGATTTGAAGACATAGCTAGAGGGTCGTTTTTCATTTGCTTGGTATGCAGTGTCGACGCTCCCCACAAGCCGGAGTCAAACGTGTAAAATATTTTGTTTTGATTCTAACGTTTTCATTGCCGAGCATCTTTTAGCCAGCTACATTGCAAAGGACATTATCCCGACGAGTCAAGACAGCCCCCGAACTTGCCAGCTTTGTGACCTGCGAGCAGCCTAAGTTGCAGAAGTCACTGTCAGGGTGACTGGACAATTCACTTATGGTGGTTTGCGTGCACCACGAGCAGACAAGAGATTGTCCTTCGGACAATGTTGCAGTCTTCTTGTGATGTCGCACTGCTATGAAACATTGCCAAGAAGCCGCCTCTTCGATATCTAAACCAAAAGTGTTAAAGGGACGCTGAAGGGATTTTAGAATTCAATCAAACTTTGTGTTCAGATGTCAAAATTGTTTTCGCTGTTGTAGCAGCAGGAGCTTTAGGACAGGCAAAATAAAATCTTGTCTTGCTCTGCTCCCACGAGCGCGTTGATAGTGTGGGCATGGAAACATAAGTCATCTTCGTTTCCCCTGGCCCGGAGCAAGTGTTCTTTCTTATCTTCAACCACGGCCTCCGTGACGTGCCATTGCCGGAACTAATCGAAGAGGCCACACTTCAGCAGTGCTGCTGTTGCAGATCACACGGCATGGCGTCACCATGTTCGCTTGGCGTCTCAAGAAACTCGGCGGCCGCGGCCACTGTTTTTTTCACCAAAAGGTGCTATTGGCGTTCACTTTTGAGAACTCTCACATCGCTTTTCTAATTCAGCAGGGATCAAACTGTCCTGACATGCTTCCAAGTCATTTTTTTTTAGAAAAGTGTTTCAGCTTCCCTTTAAGGTAATAAAAATATATTTGATGCATCCTGAGACACAACATTACCTGTTTTAGTTTTCTCAACACCACTACTTTTATTTAGAGCAGCAATAAAAAAAATTTTAAACTTGTGTGTCAGTACAGGGCCAGTAAACAACCTCCGACATTTTTTTTTTTTACACACCCAAAACAAGCTCGCCAATTCATACAGTAGACCGCGGCGATCACATTTGCCTAATATTACAGCACTGTGCACCACGCAGACCTCCCTTTCGAAAAACAATCCCGTGCCTGTTTCCCTCGCCTGACAAATGCCCCTGGTATGCACAGTCCGAGGAAAGCTTGCTCATGAGCAATGTTTTGCAACACTGAGCTTTTCAATTGGTTCTTTGCCCTGAGCTTTTCAATTGGTTCTTTGCCCTACGAAACACTGCCTTGGCCCTGCTACATTGCAGTTTCAGCCGCGCAGCCTGCATTCTCATTTTTCTGCGCTGCCCTCTTCGTTTAGTGGAGTTTGAGACTCGGGGAGAAGCGGTATAGCCAGAATGAAGCTTCCGAGATACAGAGGCGTCTCTCTACTTTACAGCAAGGAGAAGAACGCTCCACGTCTCCTGCCCGCGCTGCCACAACACGTGCTCATGTGGGGGAAGTTCCTCTCGGTCATTGGTTGCACACCGATGAGGTATCACGGACGGCATGTCACATTGATGAAATAGGTGGGATCACGACAACGGGCTATTCCTTGCCTTCCCCATAGTGTAGAAGAGTGGGCCATGCGAAAATTTGAAGCCGGCTGAAACAAATGTTCGAACTCCTGTAACTTCCTGTAACTGTATTAAGGAAATAGAGTATGTACACTCAAATCTCGATATAATGAAACTAGATATAAAGAAACAACGGTTATAACAAAGCAAATGAAGAGTACTCTTGCAATAGATGTAGTGTTAGAAATATACCTTTATAACAAACTTTTGGATATAGCAAACCTATTTTTGTGTTAGATGCGACTTTTTTATGAAGAGGTCCGAGTGTATTCGTGAAATTTTTGTGGCAGCATGTTCACACTGCAAAAGTGCGCATATTTCCCTTCATAAAAATTTTTGGACCTCGGGGTTGTTTACTGGCCCTTTAATTGCACAGATGAGGTTGACCCTTTGCCCAAACTGCAATTTGCCACATTACTTCTACAGCTAAGATGCAACTTGACCATGATGCCTACGGTTTGGATGACACTTACTCGAGGTAACTTGTTCCCTATTGACATGGCAGGCACACTCACACGACTGGCTTAGCTACAGAAACAATTGAACATGTAATGTGTGCATTGAACCTAATGTTTCTCAGGTTGTGTTAAACTGCCATTTGGCGTCTACAGCAGATGTAGCGCAGGTGCATGTGAATAGAATGGAATGAAAAAACTTATAAACCAAACAATTAGGGGACCCTAAAGCTTCGCCTTTAGGAGTTGAGTGCTATAGTGACATCCTATTCTTAGTGCATGCTTCAAACACATGGTGCATGAAACCTTTTCGAATTGGCTATGCACACACAATACGTGGCCTTAAAAAAAATAGGCGCAGTAGCGTGTGTGACTTTTTTCATGGGGTACTGGCTTCCAACCGCGGAGCCATTGTGATAATCACATATTCTGATGCCTGTTGGCGATGGGCGCTTGTACCACACATTATTACTGCAATATTTCATGCTCCGTTGTGAAGCATGTATACAGGACAAGTGTATTTGTGAAGCATGAAAGCTACTTTCACCGCATTTCTGAGCAGAGGTGTGGCCGTGTGGTAGAACATCCCCTTGCCTCGCAAACGACCCCTGTTCGATCCCCACTCAGATCCTAACAAGCCTGGCTCGGTCCCCACTCTTGTCCAGGGTTTTTTATCATTTATTGATTTTATTTACATCATTCTTGATTTTTCGGTCACGCATAAAATGATGATTTTTCGCTCACAACCAACGATGTCGACACCGGTATTTGTGCGAAACAAGTTCTTAACGGGGTCGCGTTAAAACATCTGTAAACAACAAAAAGGTTAACGAAAGGCTGTTAACCAGAACCAACAAAATAGAAGACCACAGCACCATGAGAGCAGCAAAGCGGCAACGCCAACAACTACCCCAGAGTTGAAAGCACAGCAAGCGACTGCTAAGCGACAGAAGCATTGTCAACTGGAGGTGGAGACTCATTTACATGCATTGGTGGGAAATGTCACGGATGATTTACGGTAACACCATACGAAACCCAGTGCTTTGCTCACTCTTCGTGATTCACTTTGTGGATATGCGTTAATTTATTTTGAACCGCTTACTTCTTTTCCCAGGTGTAGGGTAGAAAATTGAAATGCACACCTAGTTCACCCTCCTGCCCCCCCTTTTTTTATCTTCTTTTGATGAGATTGCGCACAGTTATTGAAGAGAAGATGCGACAATCTCTGCAATGCGACAAAATAACTTTATTTGATCAGGCCATAAATCACCATAAATGTACAAGTGTTATTTTTTTTTTTTCCAAACTAATAGTCCTGACATCTGTACATCATCCTTTTATGCGCCTGCAATGAGAAGGAAAGAAGTAAAATTCAGGGTGCACAAATAACACTGGTACATGTATTTGATATTAAACAACACTGGTACATGTATTTGATATTTAAAAACTTGACACATACTCTGATTTTCAGACCTAGTCTTCAGATTTTGACGTAGACTACAATTTACGTGCAGCAAAGCTAGCTGCTGCGTTGTGTGCAATTTGTGGAGGGTCCATACGCTAGCACTGCGGCAATGTAAACACAATATCATGAGTCAAGTGTTCATATGTTACAGAACTGCCCTTCCTGCCAGTGTGGATATCAAGCGAATTCTCAATGCCTCTTCTTTTGTATGTATAAACGAATGAGAGAATGGGATTGATGAAAACCTTGAAGAGTCATTAGCAAGTTTCAGCACAGCACCCATGGCATCAGCAATGATGTTGCATACGTAAGAATGCTATATTTCACAAAGAGCGCATACGATTTATGCAAAATGTGCTCTTCCCGCATATGAAACACTATCACAGGCAATACATGTGCTGTAGTGAAGGTCACTATTAGTGTACACACACGAGGTGTTTAGGTCTGCGGAAGACTCGACACGTGAATTAGCCATGCCAGCTCATTCCAGTAACTGCATTTGTACAGCAGTAATAAAGTTGGGAGTTAAATAACTTAGAAGCAGTCTATCACTCTTCAGTAATTCTTAAATTACTCATAAGGCACTAATCTGTCGCTGTAATCAGTTACATACTAGAGGGAAAATTGCTTACCTCTTTTTTGTAAATTGTACAATTCTTAATGAAACGAACCTGGACACCATATGGCTCCAAGAGCTTGAGAAGTTATGAATAAGACTGGCATACGAGGATAAAGTGGCTTACCTACATCTACCGCTGCTACGTCATTTTGAGGTCTTCTTTCTTCGGCTTTGTCCGTCTTGTCGGCACCAGAAATGACGGCGTCCCTGTGGGCCCTGTTGAGAATGTCTTCGAGCACCGCAGTCTTCTGGGCAGCCAACCTTATCTGGCGCTCGGCAGACAGCAGGCGTTCGTTGGCGCAGATGCCGGCATACTCGGCGCCATTGGCAAAGGCGGTCTGCGCCATGGCTTCCATAAGGCCGGAGACGCTTTGCATGCGCGACTCGAGGGACTGGAATGGGCAAGGAGCATCATCAATTGTTAAGCAAGCATTCACAGTTCATTTTCAATAAGTAGACTTAATAGATTGTGTCAAGTGAAAAGGGAAACTAGACAAGAGTGCACTTTTATTTGTAGTTCTTGTGCATGTATCCCAGCCCAGTTGTATGATTTCTGGCGATTTGGTATCGTACGTCCCTAATAGAAACTGTTGCAACCACTTGCAGTATGTAAACCTAATTTTTATGCAGCAAGTGTACATGACATTGGCACATCAAATAAAAAATAAAATAGTCATTCTATTCCCATGTACATTTAAAATAACTTTTAAAGGAAAATTTGTTCTTGAAATAAAGATATCTTCGATGAATGAAAAACGGCAGTGAGGATTTTGTCAAATATTCACGAGCAATAACTACTTACTTCTTACGTACATATCATCCAATGGGCATTACATTAAAATCCTTGTACAAAAACGACCACGCGCAATTTTGTGTTGAGGTCCTGGAACCATTCTAAACGGACAATCGTGCATTCTTCTAAAGACCTAATCAGAATTCAAAGGATTACACAGCACTGATGCGAAGCCTAACAAGGGTTTAGCACAATCGCTAGAAATAAGCAGTTGCATCACTACTAATTTGGCTGCTGAAGGTGCAGTTAGCTTCGATGCAAGTTGAAAAGCTAGTATTATGCTGATGCGACACGAGCTGACAATGGTGGAAACTTCGAAAGTACTATATGCATTACTTTGCCCAAAGTTTCCGTATCTCATTCGATGAGCATCGTACAATGCAATTTCAAATTTCTTACGACGGTATGACATATTTTGCAAAATAAGTTCTATTTGTAAAAATGCTTCAAAAGAGTGCACATGAAAAAAAAAAAAGCTGCAACAGTACCTGCATCCCCGTTTTGTGACAGTGCAAGGAGCTGTCAATTAAGCCACACAGTATTGGGCAACCTCAGTTATAAGAGTTGCTCAAGCAGGTGAAAGCAGCATTAAGTCAGTGTGATCTACAAACGCATTTGCCTTGATCTCCCGTTTTCGGTCGTTTCAAGACTGCTGATGCTTGCCTGCCATGTCTGAATCTATGCGCTACCCTCTCGTCACCACTACCTTTTCTTTTTGTTACCTCAGTGCACTTACGAGAACATCTGCTTTGAGCCGGTTGGTCTCCTCTCGGATGGCGATCATTTCAAGCCAGATAGAATCGTCTCCCGAACAGAGGCCCACCTCCGTCTCGAACCTCTTCAGCAGGCTGCTCAGCTTGTTCAGGCTCTGCAATACAGAGGACAGCATAGATTGTCCATCGTGACATACACACTCATTTCGTGCCACTCGGCGTTAACGGCTAACCGTAAGCAGTTCCTGCAACCAAGATCTGCATTTTTTTTCCCCCGTTTCTCTGGAAACTAGCCGCGCGCACCTCAAGCAAAAAGCACACAAAGTGAGCATACACAGGACGTGCCTGGACTTGTCAACTGTCACAGCTGGACACTTCAAGCGCGCTGTTCAAACAGAAAGAAAGAAGCATGAAACGAACCCACAAGTCTACACAGAACAAGTGCGAACAACTGTCACAATTCTTGCTTCTTCGTGTGTGAGCAGCGTGCTCCATTTGTAAACATGGCCGTGGCAGAGAGCAAAGTGACTTTCATGCTCTCCCGAATCGTGAGTCTAAAAAGCGCACGCGCAGGAGAGACCACGCTCCGTTTAGGCGGCGTTCATCAAGAGGCGACGACCTTTAGAATTTGCGGCCAACGCAAGCTTTTCGCACCATCTGGCTACTGATGATGAAAACACTCTGAAGTTGCAGAGTACTGAGGACTGCCAAACAGTATATAAATGGCTTGCCTTTAGCAGTCTCGACAACGCTCGCTCTATATTTTGCACCTGGCGCTGTAAAGAAAAAGGTCGCGAGTTCGACAGCCCGCAACAGAACCTTTCCTTCTTGTCTTCTTTTTTTTTTTTTTCAATCTGTTAGTACATATTTATTGTCATATCCATAACGAAAATACATCAGCGAAGCCGTGGTGGACCCCAGCATAAAACACTTTTGTGTTAAAAAAGGCAGGACACATGCTTGAATCATGCCCTGTCAATGGCACCAGGTCCAGCATTTCTAAACCAGCAACAACCAACTGCAGTGCCTTGTTTCTCAATTTTCATATTGAGTAAGCATGGTTTTTTACATGGCACAAGCATGTGCTAAAGCTATGAAAAGATGATGCTGTGCTCCTTTAATAATAATAGTTGATGTTTTGTTATTACAACACTAAACTTACATTTATGTGATTACAGAAGGCAACACTGGTATTCCAAAGATTATTAGTTTTGCTGGTTGTTTTCTTTCATGAGAGATATCCTATGCAGACTTACCGGAGTAAAGAGAGCTCAGCTTAAATTGAGAACAACGCAGCGAGCAATGGAAAGGAAAATGGTAGGTGTAACCTTAAGAGACAAGAAGAGAGCAGAGTGGATTAGGGAACGAACCGGGGTTAAGGATATCATAGTTGAAATCAAGAAGAGGAAATGGATATGGGCCGGGCATGTAGCACATAAACAGGATAACCGCTGGTCATTAAGGGTATCTAACTGGAAAGATGAGATTAGGAAGTTTGCGGGTATAAATTGGCAGAAGCAAGCACAGGACCGAGTTGACTGGCGGAACATGGAAGAGGCCTTTGTCCTGCAGTGGACGTAGTCAGGCTGATGATGATGATCCTATGCAAAAGTGCTATAACTTTTACAGGAATCACTCAACTGGGAAGATCAAATTTTGACTGCCAAATTTCGCAGAAAGAGAGCAATGACGGCAATGCAGTTTTCGTACTTTCCAGTATGCTTCGTGGGCATCGAGGATTGCCGCTGTCAGTTGAATGAGTACCCTGCTAGCTGCTTCGACAGCAACAACACTGGCCTGTTTGATCAGGAACTCGTGCGACAGGGTTTCCGGGTCGATCGCTGCAAGCTGCGAGAGGCATAAAAGAAAGTGCAGTGGCAGATACAGCCCTTCAGATCAATGCTGCGACATGGTTTAAGTCCACATCTACCGGTGCACAAAAGTTATTTTCAGACTCTAACTGTATGAAGCACACGGTAGAGGTCAGTGATGTCATCATCTTTTATGGGCTCGGCTGTACCGTCGTCGTCGGTATAATCTGAAGTTATATGGAGTTGCTTCATCATGTGCATTATGATAAACTTTACAAGATTCAGGAAGGAATCGTCAGGCCTGTGTTTGAGGAAAACAGCTTACAGTTTCAAAGTATGGAAACACATTGATTGCAGTGGTGTATGAATATTTCAAACAATTTATCCTACTGGCCCTCAATCACCATAGGAAATTTCATAACCTCAAGTTTTTGCATGGTGCACAGTCTAAGAGAGTATTTTGCACCATACAGTTGTATTATGTTTAAATGCCCCTTTGCGACCGTGCACGAATTTGTGGCCCTATACATGTTCATTGAAAGTTTTGTGGTTAATGCAGCTATACTAAACAGCATGGATGGGCGCAGTACTGATAAATGTGAAGTGATACAGATATCCCTGTTTTGTAATGCTGCGATAATACAGTTAAACCTCGACATGACGAAGCATTTCCCTGTTTGCAACTTTACGTCCACAAAGCCCATGTATATTGAACCTCGATATAACAAACCATGTTTATCTGTGATTCCAATATAACCAAGTTTCACTGTTGGCTCAGAAGAATGAATTTATGAGTTAGTTGCAGTCAGTGGTCATACTTATATGTTGAGTTGCACAGTTTTTGCAAATGTGGCAAATGCTATATTACCACAGTGCATTGAACCTGCACATTTGGTCACTGTGAAGATAATTTCTTCACCAGCGTCTGGTTCACGAACATCAATTTTTTCGTGTGTGTGTTATTGAAATAAGTGTTTTGTGGAGCCATATTTTTCAAACATTCTTCTAGCATTTCGCATCCTCCCCCCCCCCCAAAAAGAATGCTTTCACAAGTACGCCTTGCATAAAAGGTCAAATTTCAATTTAACGAAGTATAAGTTTCCCATTTCATGGACCTCATGTCGACGCTTTACTCAACATTGTTTTACTGTATTAGTGGGGGCCATTTTGCAGATCTTTACATGTGATATGTGTAATGCCGCAATAGTCCACCTGGGACGTCAAGTCGTATGAGTTGCACTACATTATTGCACTGGCTGACGTCATCTCATTTGAGGCCTCGTGCTAGTGGTATTTTGCAATGACACACGCAAAATACGGTCAAAAGCGCGTAAGCAAGGCAAAAGTGCACGCTGAGATCTCGGAAGAAACGATCCAACATGGCACAGCGCATGCTAGATGGCGCCATAGTATCAAGTGTCAGAAAACACGTGAAAGTTTGTGCAAAGGGAAAGAAAAAGTTAAAAGAGGACACTCCGCGAAATCTGGCCTAAGCAAGTTTGTCACGACTAGGTAAAAAACTAATGCTCTCACCAAATGCCAGAGGACGAAAAGTATAAACAAGTTATCAATAGAACGGAATGTTTTTTACAAAATATTAATTAGACGCCCATATTTGGCATGTTTTTTTATATGTAAAAACAATTTATGCAACACACCTTACGGGGCTATTTTTGTTAAGGCACAATGCCATAAACAGCATCTACGATTCGCACTGATTCGAGTACCCGCCATAGCAGCATGCAACAAGCCCAGGCATAACAGCAGAAAGGTTTTGTCAACATCCGCTGCTTCGGTGTTTTCATCTGAGAGACAGCACGTAGGGTACGTTTTCAAGAGCAGCTTGTAGAGTGACATGTTTTTAGTCTAGTCAGGTCATTGAGTCAGAAAAAGGTTACAACTGCACGAATAAGATGTCATGTAAGAAACATATGCCCACACATGTTGCGCTTTGGGTGGGATGTGTTTCTATGTTTTTTACATGGTGTCTTAATCATGCAGTTTTAACCTTTTCTGAAGCTTGTGACGACGGCGACGTTCGCTAAAAACGTTTTGCAGCTGTAAGCGGCGGCAAGACCTGAACATTGCGTGACGTATGCAGTATAGCAAAGCATTTCTGTGCGATGCTCTTATAATTTTGTGCTTTTTATATGCTCAGCCTCCACCTTGCCTTGAAATAAAAACAATGCCGATACTCTGTCTCCTGTTTCTTTAGTTTGATTGTGATATAGATTAACCGCTTGTTAAAAAAAAAAGCGCGATGAATAATGCCGTAGTGAATAATGATTTCCTACGTCTCTTTCTATTACAACTTAGTCGAAATAAAAATTATGCCATGACCTCAATTCGCAGGAACAATTTTGAGCTAGACAACATAGGAAATCGCGGAACAATTTTGAGCTAGACAACATAGGAAATCGCTAAATCAAAACGACAAACGATAGCCTTGCCATTTGGGCGGAGAAAAGAGGTGTGGAATCATTAACTTCCGCCATAGCCAAACGTCGGTTGCGCACAGTAATCCGAAATTCGCGCCAGTGAAACCGAAACGAGAAGCGCAGGTCAGTGGCTTTCACCAACCACCAGGTGCGCTAGGATCGATTGTGGCGCCGAGTCCACTCTTGTTTTTTTTTTTACTTCTCTGTGGTTTGCGCAGGAACCACAACGGATGGTTTACCGATACGGCTTCACAACACGCGTCCGTTTGTTGCAGTGTAGCATACAAGCACTTTCTGCATCGTTTGTCGACATCCCATACCGTGTCATCGCTGTCGTCCTCCGCGCATCTTACGAGGACCGGGAGACTCCATGCCGCAGTTGTCGAAAAGGCCGCTTTTCCGGCGATTTTCGTAAGTAGTGAGGGCCTCCTGGCAAACCTGCGCGTGTAATGCACGCAACAAATTGTTGATGTCGATGTCTCGACAAAGAAAACGGCTGTTCTTCGTCACGCGTCTTGTTTTGGCGTAGCGCATGCTTGCTTACCTCAAGATGTTGCGGACGTGCGTGAACTTCCACAACGGCCTCAACGCCATTGCGGCGTGCGCCATAACGATAGATTATTATAATCACGTTTCTTGTGTCGGTTGCGCGGGCCTGGCGTTAAACAGGCGAATCACGGAACGATGAAACTTCGCGGTCTGGACACCGCGGTACAGCCGCGGTGCCGTGGCGTGCAGAGACCGGCATGTTTACGATACACCGGAAACCGGTAGCAGTTTTCCTGCACCAGAACTTCCCGTGGGCAACTACAGAACTAGAAGGCGTCGTTTTGTCGCATGGAGGAGTGTTTTGTCGTCTGCTCTAATGCTACAAATCGAAACCAGGCTTCTCGCGAGCAAAAGCTCCTCAAAGAAATGTAACTTAGATGTAACTTAGCAGCGTGACGGTTTGACATGGTGTGATGTGACGATTGTTAAGCGCGAGAACAGAACTTCTCTTGTGTCTTCGCCGTCGTTCTGTTCTCCATCGTCTCCTCAAAGAAGCAGGAGATCTCTAATGAATAGATATTCTCGGAATGTGCATGCTTGCTTGAGCTTGAACAGAAAGAAACGTCGCCCGATCGTTAAGGAAGAATGGTTCAAATGCCCCGCCGCGATGGTCTAGTGGCTAAGGTACTCGGCTGCTGACCCGCAGGTCGCGGGATCGAATACCGGCTGCGGTGGCAGCATTTCCGAAGGAGGCGGAAATGCTGTTGGCCCGTGTGCTCAGATTTAGTGCACGTTAACCCCAGGTGGTCGAAATTTCCAGAGCCCTTCACTACGGCTTCTCTCATAGTCATGTGGTGATTTTGGGACATTGAACCCCACATGTCAATCAATCGGAATAGTTCAAAGCCGGATGTCGAACCGATTTCTGTTTCGTATGTCGATCGCTGTGGTTCGGAGAAAAAATAGAGTTACTGCGCATGCTACGAGAGGAAACTCTAGAGGGGGAAAAATGGCGTTCCAACACTATGGGCCCCTACCACTGCCCTTTTGAGCAAAGTTTTGTACTGTCCTCGCGTTTTTGTGTTCCGTTAGGTTTTGCATATATATGCATGTTTACCGCCCGTTTCCTGGCCAGTTCCCCGCGGCGAGTTGCGCAAAGTTACCGCGGAACCACCAGCAAACCAGTTACGTGTAACGGTGCAAGCAAGCCGCAAAACGCACGCGTGATTTGCATAATAGCATGGCGATAGTTAAAGCGCGAGAACAAAACGATGACACACAGACAAGAGGGACGCGAGCGCTACCTGTCCTTCTTGTCTCTGTGTCGTCGTTTTGTTCTCGCGCTATAACTATCGTCATGCCATACCAACTAGCCCAAGCTGCCACACTTCTAAGTTGCATAATAGATCGAATCATTTAGCAAGGTACAGAAATTATTTGCACGTGTTACCGTGCCGCCCCTTCCATCTCGCTCGATGTGTTTAAGCCACCCCCAGTTCCAGAGATAGTCCCTCAAAAGAGTACGACTAAGTTCCTTTATTAACAATGCGTATGCGCTGAGAGGCAAAAGCGTTTCAAAACGGCTCACTAAGCTACCGGTAAACTGCTGCGCCGTACGATGCATGCACAATCGAGCCACCTCCACACAGAACGGCTCCTGCATTGCACGGAATGGACGTAATACAAGTTTCTGGTTGGGCGCGTCGTTAAAGTCGGACATGATCATGTGTGTGTTCTGTGATACTACTTCGCCGAATCGGCGCGTGATCGCTTTACTTCCTCATCGGCCTCCCGTCAGCCGGACTTGCTGCTGCTGCGCTGTTGATGGTCCTGTCTAGAGGCCCTTTGATTGTGGATGATCGTCGTAGAATTGGCTATGATAAGCTGTTTTGAGAATTAATGCACTGCCTCGGCGAGACGCAGGAGAACCCGCAAAATTGTGATGCAGCCGACGTCGGCTTCTCCGGCATGCGCGTCAGTGATAGCAGGAAGCCGCACTGCAACCGACATGGTATCAGAATTGAGCAACTGGGCACCTAGATTTCGCGAACGGCTCGTGGTCATGTGCTATATCGCGCTGAAAAGAAGCGCGAACAGGGTAAAGTGTGGCTTTCGGTACAGTCGAACTTCAACATGCCTTGGCCATCGCTGGGCGAATCTGTGCCTTCGGCTGGCGTCACTGTAGCGCTAGAATTTCGCTCCAGCTGGCGCTATCGCATTGCGTGTGTTCAGAGTGCAGTGCACAACTGGCAGACGATAACCATAACAAGTAGTGGCCAGTGGACAAGTTTTCTGTCGTAATTTTCGTAACAGCTAGTAGTCACTGTTTCTTTTCGCTGCTAGGTATACACCGAATATGAAACATACAACCTTGTTATGTAGCTCAGCGTACCGTCATCGCTTCACATGAAGGAAGGAATACATTGAGGCATAGCCTCCTATATACTTGGAAAGTATATAGGAGGCTATGATTGAGGAGAGGCTGTCATGTCACACTTTGTGAAGCCGGAAGTAAGGAAGAGCAGAGGAGTCCTTTTCGCATTTGTGGACACGCTACGGCGGCTTGCGCATGCGCAACGGGCGCCAGCGAGAGGGAGGTGAGAGGAAAAAAAAAACCACTTTCGACTTCAAGCAAACTTAGTCGTGTAGACCAACGCTCACTGTAGGCTTCCAACGCATTCCATCATCTGTGAAGTGCAACAACGGCATAAAAATGCACATTAAGAACACCAGCCAGCTATCAACAATGCGGTCATACTAGTGGTGATACAGACGAGACGAGAGACGAGACGCTAGCGTGCCCAACTATTCCACCCCCCCCCCCCCCCCCCCCCCCGGAAGAGCACGTGACTTTTCGCTCTGCAGCTCGCATTGCGAGGGCCTCTCCTTATAGCTTTCCTTCCTCCATGCTTTGCACGTAAGTCATGAAATAATAACAAAATGAGCGCATTCTTATTTTATTGAGAAAAATGAGGTGACCATAGAACGTTTGGTCCAGGTGCCTTACATAGAAAACACCGGTAACGCATAGAGAACAACTTGTCGAGAAACTGGAAAAGGGAACAATGAACATGTCGTGAAGGCATTTGAGAAATATCACAGTATACAACAATGCCATAGTAACAATAATAAACGTAATAAACAGTTAAGGCCGGCATATCTGGCTGTACACAACCATATTGGGCAGTGACTTCACCACAGCAGAAACACACAAGAAAGCCTGGGCCAGCGACTATCAGTAATTAATGGATGTCTAAAGCTTGCACGCAATAAATGTTGCACATGTAAGCTCAATCACAATTGAATCAAATGACTTATTCATGTAATGTACGACCATCCTTTGGTGCTATGCAAGCTTAAATGAAATGCAACTGATCTTACCGACAAGTTGACATAATTACTTGGCAGTGATAAGGTCGGACACGAGCACATACGACTTCTAGCAAACGGTGTATTTTTTTTTCCTTTGAACCATTAAGCATACAAAAGCTAACATTTTAACCGATTCACCCACATTCCACACAAAAGGCATTAAATGTCCACTGCATGCCATGAAGATTTCGAGAATGCCACTGTATCATTTAGAGGTTACCATGCCTGTTGCGCTATAATGGGACAACTTCTTTCAATAAACAAAAATATGATTTTATAGTGGGAGACACTCGGCTAATCACCAAACCTTTTGGATTGCCTTGTAGTAATTACGAAGAGAGAATGTGCGGTCAGCATCAAAAGTTTTGAGGCCACTAAGTATGAGGAGAACAAAGTTTCATTTGCATAAAAGACTTTGACGCCTCCAAAGGTGACAACTTCGTGAGGTCGAGACCCCGTTCCGAAGAATTGTTGGCCCTTGCATCCTTTCTGAGAAAACAAAGAAATTTGTTGATGAATTCGGTCCTTGTGCATATATTGTAGATGTGAGCACATTTTGAACTTTATATATACACAGCAAACTTGCATGTGTATTTTTGACACTGTGAATTGCCTAAGGGAAGGCTTCTGAAAAAAAAAATTAAAAAAAGACAACTTATTGAAAATGTAAGCAATGAGCTGCTAGTCAAAGCTGTGACAATATTATGCTTTTCCAAATGTCTCATGGCCCCTAAACTTTTGGAGCAGGCGTGCACATGCTGTACGGTATTCTACAGTACTTGAGGAGGTTCACTTTTTTAGGCGATACATTTCTTATGCGTTGTGATGCGAGTTTTTCTATGCACACATTTTCAAACTGACCAATGCCCAAAAAACATCAAAGCTATTCGTATGATATTAGCTGCACAGAACAGTGAACAGCCATATGCACATTTGTGGTTGGGAGGGACATCTCCTATGAGAATGAAAGGAGGGTGAACCACAAGCAGAAAGGACATTGGTAAACACCTGCAACAGATTAAGGGGAACATAGCTAGTCCTGTGAGGCGGCCAATCTTGGGTGGGAACCTAAAAATATAATTGAAGAAGCTATTGGCAATAGGACAGCCAGTCGTGCGACTTGCTGGTCGAAAACAGTTGGGGAGCTTATTCCTGCAAAGTCTCCCTGTTGTGGTCGTATCTGAAGAGATACTGAGAATAGGTCGTATCTGAAGAGATACTGAGAATAAGAAATATGAGCACTTCCAAGTTTTTCACAGGTAACTTAACTTAGAAAAAATTGCTACCTTTCACAGTAACGAATAACAAAAAAAAAGCATGTGAGAGAATATATAAGCCCACCGTGTATGATATGACCTACACAATTACTGCTGGCTGTGACAGGCCCTAGTGACATTTTGCTATTTTTCAGCCCAACAAATATGAAAAGTAGCTAGCAGCCACTCATTTTGGTGTCTGAACAACGCGGCTTTCTTTCCTTGCAAGCCCATGATGGCAGCTCAATCGACTTGTTGCACAAAATAACACTCATGATTGCAAACGCATCATCCTTGCATAGCACGTCACGCGTGTCATCAGAAGTATTAAAGGTAACAAATTCTTCTGGTGTCAGCGCCAGGAATCGGAGCTTGGCCAGGAAAGGGGCAATGGCGGTCTTGATGTCAACAGGCTTGTTGCCTGTGGTGGCGATTTTCTGGCAGAATGCTTGCGCCCATCTGTGGACCGCGAGGACCACGTACATCTCCGGCACGTTTGTCACCTGTGGTCGCGAAATTGAAGAAATGAAAAGGTCGGGGCAAATTTGTTACGGAGAACTGTCATATCGAGGGAAATATTTCACCGAGTTGCATCCTCTTTATTACATTCTGATAAGAGTGAACAGCCAACAGCCTATCAAATTACGCGTGCAAATAGGCTATGCTTTCTAGCACAGGCTTCCAGGACAAACATAAGCTGTTAATGTGATTTTTTAAATGCAAATGTATTTCTTAGCTAGACTATGTTAGGCGTCCGTCGGGATCCGTCCACTGCCCTCTCCCAAAGCAACAGCTTCAGGCGCGCGCGCCCCTAGCAACCGGAGCTTCAACCTTGTCACGCTTCCCGTCGGCAGCTGTCAGCAACAACTGAGGGCGCGCGTGCTTATCCTCGCCCCAAGCAACCGGAGTCCCACCTCCTTGACTTGAGCGTGACTTGCCACCGCCTAAATGCGGTGCATTTGAAATGCGTTTGTAGCATTTGTGCTGCCTTGGCACAGCCTGAAAACAGTGCGTTCTCAACCCGTTTGTGCTGCATTGAAGGCAGTGGCAACATTCTTGAGGTGATTACGAACGCACATAGGAAGTGTTCGTTGAAAAGGGCAGCCGAAAGGGAGACACTTGAGCGCGTCGATGTGTCCAGCAAGTGTTTTATTTTCTTGGTATCCCTGGCGGCTGGTGCCCTCAATACTCCGGCGTTCGATAAGACGCTGACATTGCGGCCGTCAGGTACAAGGACAACACAAACAGGTGCTAATGAATGTGTAAATAAATAATAACGGAACAAATCCTCATCTCACCATTAATTTAAAGCCATTAAAATCACTACGCCCTGTACTCTCGGCACAAGAAATACATTCGCATTTCCTCATGATTCTCTTTCGGGGAGGTAGGGTATTTTTTTACGTCACAGGTACTTTACCTTATTAGCAGTTCTTTTCCAATTTTAGCTAAAAAATGTTTTCTTTATTCTGATAGGAGAAAAGCACACCAAGGAAATCTCCCTTTTACTAAAAATATAATGCATTGCATAAAAATGAGCACTGCAAAACATTTGTGTATACAACAGTCTAGTTTTTCAAAGAAACGGTGTACTATGTGTTTTTAGGATTTGCCATTTATATTTTTACCAGTTGTGGTCAGTTCATCATAAACTGGTGCTGCCTTTTCCATAGTCTTGCTTCCACGTTGTCTTCGTGCTACCTTTCCAATCACGAGCCCAATGTTGCAGAGATATTTACAAAATTATAGAAACAGTCAAATTAAGTACGTTGTTTGGAGAGGACAAAGCTAATATATATTTATTCCTGGCCTGCTAGTTACAATAGTAGTAATGTGCTCCTGTATACAAATATTGGCGGTAGAAGGTGTATCTGTGCATGGGACTGGTTTTTATTTGAAGTGTGGCTTCCTCAAAAAATAGAGGTACATGCATTTCTGTTTTAATGTTTTGAGTGCATTCAAGCCCAACATGGGCTTCATATTTGAGCAGATGCAGTTGCCATTATGCACTCTGCACATCCCCATTTGCAGTCAAGTAATGTTGGGCAAAGTATGGCCATGTAAGCACTTGTTACCTTTTCCAGAACGAAGTGTACAGTCTCCTGCAAGCAGTCGGTGAAAGCATCGGACGCCAAGATTGCCTCGGGGCGGTCTTCCAGAAGTCGACCCACAGCATTGTCGACGTACTCACCACCAGTGAGCAGGGTGTAGTCGATCACATGACACACCTGCTCAGCTGTCACGTGGGCACTGATGTACTCTGAGCAGGTGAGAGCCAGGTACGGTTCGAGGTACTTGTCCGCCGCAGTTCTTGTATACATGGCTTCTTCCGTGCTTTTAATCTTGGGCTTTCCAGTGTACAGGTACCTGGAGAAATTGAAAAGAATGATGCACATTTCTCACAGGGATCCACGATGTAAAAAGGCAGGACTGAAACGACACAAGACAGATGGACACAGGGCGACGCATGCAGGAAGCCTTCACATAGATATGAAGTTCACCCAAATAAAATGCCTTTCCACATCATGAATCAAAGCCAAATCACCAAACATCTTATTGTACTGATAAAACCTAGCAGGGATCCCTTTAGATGAATGTCCGAAAGCACAATCTTCTAGAAACCTGAAGAAGCAATCCTGATTTGCTGTGAACATATCGGGTTGAAGGAAATTTCACAGGCCATTTCCAACCTCATGCAAAGGGGCCACACATTCTTGATTGTGTGCCCCTTCAGGCTAGCTGCCATGGTAAATGAGCTTTTGGCTGTTTGCATATATATAAAAACGACATTCTAAACAGCTAGCTTTAAGTGACACTTCTGCATGTGTTTGTTTCAAACGTCACATTTTGCACTTGTAGCTGCGCAATCATCAACTAGGTTTTATATTTGTGGTTTAGTTCCAAGGAGTGCAGAAGCTAATTTTATCTGACTTTTAAGACATATAGTTATAGTACAGCATCGACTATAAATGGCAAGATTTATGTAGGAACAATACCTGACTTTGCCGAAGTGCCCTGAAATGATCACTTGGACACCATGGAAGCACACCCATAGCTGAAGTGCATATTGATTCACTTCCACATGAAAATTTTTGTTTAATGATAGTGCTATTAAAAGCTGCTTTTGTCTCCATTTATTAGTGTGCTTTGTTATTCCAAAACGAGCTTGATGTCTGAACATCTTTCGATCGACAAACAATGCTGAATCTCAATGTGATAAACCATCAAACCCTGAAATAAGGAATACAGGCATAACGAATTATCAGTTAGAACCAAGTTGGCAGAGTATAGTCCTGCTTTTATTGCTAAGCCTGGAATTTCAGTTTATAACAAATTTCTAATGTAACAAAGCCATTTTAGTGTCTAATGCAGCTTTGTTATGGCGAGGTTTGACTGTATGGGTATATAGCCATACTGTTGCCCAAAATTGTGTGTTTGCAGAAGTGTCATTTGCTAGTGCATTACACAAGTTAAAGCTTAGTAAAGCCCGCAGGGGCGCCTGCGCAAGTAGGCGTTTGGTGTGTAGCGACACCACGGACCCGAGCTAACGGGGGAGTTTCTACTCCCTCCCACGCCTAGCCGTGCGTGGCTTTGCCGTGTCCGGGGAAAAGGGAATCCTGGGGGTTGAGCCGACGCTGGGTGATTGGACCTTTAAGGCCCCCCGGCAGAGGCAACACACCCCTTTGGCCCTGGCTTCACGTAGACGGCACCCCTGGGCTGACCCACCTAGGGGAAATCGGCAGTCGCCTTTTCCTATCTCTCTCTCCCTACATCTTCGTCTTTCTTACTTTTTTTAGCTTTCCTGTCTACTTCTCTCTTCTGCTTACTTCCAATTTTCTCGGCGGCAAGGGTGAACCCTGTGCAAATAGCCTACCTTGGCCTATGCGCATTGGGTTATAGCAGGGTTGTACGGCTGACGTCTGCAAGCTTTTAGCATCCGCAAACTTGCAGCGTCCCCTCGTTGGGCTCCGTGGTGGGTGGCCGCCAACGCTGCTGAACAACATACAATTAGCATGCAGAAAGCATTTCGTTTACTTAGTGATCGTGCCTCCTCAAAGCGGGTACGCACCGAAGACATCAATTTTTTGATCCGGCCAAGACAAATGTTTCCTCGTTTCCACGTTATACACTGTGAAAAAACTAACAAGCAAGCCAAAACTGTATCCCCCTTCATAGTGGCTAGATGCTTAACCGAAACTCTCGGTGCTGGGTACAAGGTTACCAAAATGGCCAGCGGAGATCTACTTCTTGAGATACGTGACAAAGACCAATTCGATAAGCTGAACACCCTCACAACGTTTGGAGACACACCCATCAGTATTACGCCACACAGGTCCATGAACTCATCTCGCGGGGTCGTATCGGATGTAGATTTGCTTGACCTGACCGAAGCTGAACTTCTGGAAGGATGGAAGAGCCAGAACGTGACAAACGTACAGCGTATTAAGATCAGAAGAGATCAAAAGGAAATCCCAACCAAACACTTAGTACTGACCTTTGCTTCGAGCGATTTGCCGGAAACTATTCAGACTGGGTACACAAAGAGATCCGTGAGACCATATATTCCCAACCCCCGCCGTTGCTTCCAATGTCAGAGATATGGCCACGGCTCGCAAAGCTGTCGTGGCCGGAAAACTTGTGCTCTGTGTGGAGTCGTGGGCCATGCGTCCGACAACTGCGAAGCACCTGCACACTGTGTGAACTGTGGCGGTAATCATGCTGCGTACTCACGTTCCTGTTCTTTCTGGAAAAAAGAAAAAGAGATCATCACTTTAAAGATAAAAGAAAACATTACATTTAAAGAAGCAAGAAAAAGAGTCTCGCCATTTTATGGCCCCACATATGCTGATGCGGCGCGCCAGGGGGCAGCGTCGCACCAGCCCTCGCCACTCTTTCGGCCTGCGCAGAGCGAGCCATTGGCTGTGGCGCCTGCCCCCAAGGCGGCAGTAGTTGAGTCTACTCCGCCTACTATTGAACAGAGACCAGAGACTCCAGGGTCCTCGGGTCTCAAGGCCTCACCTCGCCAGGCGAGGCCCAAGCTTCGAAAAACCAGCTCGCATGAGCGGGCATCCAGTGCCTCCGAGGAGGCAATGGATACGGACGGCGGCACCCCTTGTGCCAAAAGAACGGCGCGGCTCTTTGGAGCGCGCCAAGAGAACTGAAAAGCTCATAACAGGGCCTGATAATAGCCCTGTTATTTGAGCTCGACCTTTCAGCTTAAACAAGTCACTCCCTTAACGTACACACAGCACTACTTTACTTCCAATATGGAAACACAAATTATACAGTGGAATGTCAGAGGACTGCTTAGGAACCTCGACGACGTCCAAGAGCTTTTATACAAACACCCACCTCAAGTGCTGTGTGTACAGGAAACACACCTAAAATCCTCCAATACAAATTTTTTACGTGCTTACGTCACATACCGAAAGGACCGAGATGATGCTGTTGCGTCATCCGGCGGCATAGCCATTATTATTAACCAAGGAGTAGCGTGTAGACATTTACCACTCCAGACATCCCTTGAGGCGGTGGCTGTTCGAGCGGTACTTTTAAACAAACTCGTCACCATCTGCTCTTTGTATGTACCTCCCCACCAATGTCTTGAAAGACGTGAATTCCAGTCTTTATTAGACGAACTGCCTGAACCTTATTTGCTTCTTGGAGACCTAAATGCACATAGTGGACTGTGGGGCGATTCTCGCTGTGATGCACGAGGTCGTCTCATTGAACAATTTCTCTTTTCTTCCGGTGCCTGTTTGTTGAATAGGAAAGAGCCAACATACTATAACGTTGCCAACAAAACGTACTCGTCTATAGACCTCAGCATCGTATCACCTTCACTCCTACCCCTACTGAAATGGAAAATCATAAATAATCTATATGGAAGTGACCATTTTCCTGTAGTGTTGAGTTCACAAACAACATATGAATGTCCTGTACATGTTCCCAAATGGCTGATGAACAAATCAGACTGGGAACAGTTCCACAACACTACACGTTTGAGTTGGACAGACATATGTAGGTTAAACATAGATGAAGCTGTGAAGTACTTCACAGCTTTTTTAACTGACGCAGCAGCCAGGTGCATACCGCAAACATCTGGAATGCCCGGCAAACGACACGTCCCATGGTGGAACACGGAGTGTCGTAATGTGCGAAAGGAACAGAACAGGGCATGGAGATTGCTGCGCAACTCGCCAACAGCGGAAAATCTAGACACGTTCAAGAAAATAAAGTCTCAAGGAAGGAGAACGCGTCGGCAGGCCAGAAGAGAAAGCTGGCAGAAGTTTTTGTCAGGGATCAATTCATACACACAGGAGGCAAAAGTCTGGAACATGGTCGGTAGGATAGCAGGGAAACAAGTACACTCACTTCCACTCATAAACACTCAAGGTGATACCTTGGAAGATCAGGCAAACTTTCTCGGGGCACACTTTGAACGGGTATCCAGCTCGTCCCACTATACTGACACTTTCCAAAAATACAGAACAAGGATAGAAAAGCAGAAACTCGAACACAAATCCACTAGATACGAGGCATATAACCAAGCTTTCAGTCTAGCGGAGCTCCGAACATCTCTAAACTCCTGCAGCACTTCTGCCCCAGGTTCTGACCGTGTGGTGTATGAAATGCTAAAAAACCTACCAGCCGAAACACGAAAAACCCTACTTTGTTTGTACAATGCTATCTGGTTTTCTGGCACTATCCCTACCTCCTGGAAAGAGGCTATTATTATTCCCATTTTGAAAGAGGGCAAGGACCCTTCTTTAGCTTCAAGTTATAGGCCTATTGCACTTACAAGCTGCTTGTGCAAAGTATTCGAAAAAATGATAAACTGCCGACTTGTACATATCCTTGAAACAAACAATTTGCTCGACCAATTTCAGTGCGGGTTTCGAGAAAGTAGATCCACCACAGACCACCTTGTTCGTATCGAGGCACAGATCAGAGACGCCTTTGTCCATAAACAATATTTTCTCTCTGTGTTCCTCGATATCGAAAAGGCGTATGATACAACATGGCGTTTCGGAATTCTAAGAGACCTGTCCCACCTTGGTGTGCGCGGAAGAATGTTTCATATAATCAAAAGTTACCTGTCAAACCGGACATTCCGTGTCCGTCTGGGCAGTGTGCTCTCTCAAACATTTGTCCAGGAAACAGGCGTGCCACAAGGTGGCGTGCTTAGTTGCACACTTTTTATTATCAAAATGAATTCTTTCCACTTGTCCATTCCCCGCAATATGTTCTATTGTACATATGTCGACGACGTTCAGCTTGGCTTCAAGTCATGCAACTTGGCCATGTGTGAGCGGCAGGTTCAGCTGGGTTTAAATAAGGTCTCCAAATGGGCAGATGAAAACGGATTTCGACTTAACCCACAAAAAAGCATGTGTGTCTTATTCTCTCGAAAGAGAGGCATGCACTCGGAACCTGACATTCGATTGAACGGGCAACGTCTGTCCGTCAAAGCCGAGTATAAATTCTTAGGCTTAATCTTGGACAACAAGTTAACCTTCGTACCGTACATCAAGTATTTAAAAACAAAATGTTTAAAAGCCATGAATGTTATAAAAGTGTTGTCACGTACTACGTGGGGTAGTGATAGGCAATGCCTCATGAACCTCTATAAAAGCGTCATTCGCACCCGCTTAGATTATGGGGCCGTTGTCTATCAGTCTGCTACTCAAAGTGCCTTGAAGATGCTGGACCCCGTGCACCATTTGGGCATCCGCCTTTCTACGGGTGCTTTTCGCACCAGCCCCGTAGAAAGCCTTTATGTTGAGTCAAATGAGTGGTCGCTTCATCTGCAGAGAACTTACATGTCCTTTGTTTATTTCCTTAAGGTGAAAGCAGAGAAGAGGCACCCTTCATACTCTACTATTAATGACTTGTCGAGCTCCATTCTTTTTCAAAACAGGCCTTCAATGAGGCAGCCCTTCTCAGTTCGCCTGAAGGGTCTAGCTGAGGACACTGGAGTGTCACTCGAACACAGTTTAATGGCTCCTGTAGCATACCCGCCACCGTGGCAGTGGCAGACTATAGACTGCGATGTATCTTTTCTAGAAGTTACAAAACATGCGCCCATTGCCCATATCCGAACATATTTCCTGGAACTTCAACACAAATACACACGTCCTGAGTTTTTTACAGATGCCTCTAAGTCTAACTCCTCTGTGTCCTACGCTGCTGTTGGCCCTTTCTTTTCGGATGCTGGCCCTCTACATCCAGGCACAAGTATCTTCACAGCAGAAGCTTACGCGATACTTGTGGCAGCTAAACACATTAAACAATTACAAATACAAAAAGCAGTAATTTATACAGACTCCCTCAGTGTGGTAACGGCTCTGCACAGTCTTAAAAAACAAAAAAAAACCCTGTCCTTGTCTCACTTTACTCCATATTTTGCACACTCTACACACTCAACCAACATGTTGTGGTGTGCTGGGCGCCAGGGCACCGTGAGATCCAAGGCAACGTGAGGGCGGATCAGCTCGCTGCATCCGTCCACAAAAACACTGCCCCTACACCCATATCAATCCCGGTCCTTGATCTGAAGCCGTCTCTCAAACGAAACCTCAGGGACTACTGGCAGAGCAAGTGGGATACACACACACAAAACAAACTACACGTTATCAAGCCACACCTTGGCCATTGGCCACCAGTATCAAAATCACGTCTAACAGAGGTAACACTAACAAGACTCAGGATAGGACACATATACACGACACACACACATCTTTTGTCCGGTGGTGATCCACCATTGTGTGATAAATGTGGTGAGGCATTAACAGTTCTTCACGTTTTAATTCAATGTAAACATTTAGACACTCTAAGAAGACAACACTTCCCACTATCCTATCGACAACATATACCTTTACACCCTGCAATGTTCGTCGGTAGGGAACCGCTTTTTAGTCACAAATCATTATTAGCGTTTTTGAAGAAAATCCACAATTTTCATATCATATACCCGGGCATACCGTAGCACGACCTCTCTAGAGAGGTTTTTGCTGCGGTGGCTACACAGGAAAGCACTTGCCTCACGGCCCTTGCACGCAAGGGTACTAACGTGTGAGGTACTTGTGCTAATGCCATACATGTCCACCATCGTTTTTCATTATCACCAACTTTTGTCACCTATTCACACCATGCACTTTCACGGCATAGTCATGATTTTATTACTTGTATGTTTTTACCCGCTTTACTGCGAGGAATTTTATGGCCCTTATACAGCCGCTAATCACAACCATTGTCCACATTCCTGTCTCATGAACTGGCGCTCTTTGGCCATCAAATGGCCCTTGCGCCAAAAACACCATATATCATCAAAGCTTAGTAAATTACGACGCTTCGACACAACTGCGCAAACTCACTTTAGAAGGCCGTAAAAGCCATCGGGGTGAAGGTCTGTGATGACCACGACATCCTTCTCTGGGAGCGGACCGTAAAACATGGCGGCGAACACCTCGTTCCGCAGTGCCAGCAGCTGCCGGTGGGCTTTGAACATCTTTGAGATGGGAAACATTTCTGGTTTTATGGAGAACTCCACGTCCGAGTACTGGCCGCTTTGCAGGAACTTTTTGAAGTTGAACTGCGGTATGTACAGCAGGAGCAAATGTCAGTTGTATATATGTATCATGTTGTGACAGTGAAATATATGGAAAACTGGAGGGGGTGGTTTGAGAAGAAATCGGGCAAACTTGTGCTTGGAAGACAAGTAACACCATGACGAACACGCAACACAGTTTTCAAGTTCATTATCGCGAAACACAAAAGTGGCGAGGCATGTGTAAGGCTCCCTCCATTTCCCTCCTTCCGAAGGAGATATCATTGCTACCCCATCAATCAACTTTACAGCCTCCGCTCAGCCTGAACCTTCAACACTTTTTCTGCATTTTGTTGCTGTTTATTAAGATAATGGTGGAACAGATATGTACTCACGGGAAAAGAAAAAGACATTAAGCGCTATGGAGTGACCTTTCTACATCCTGTCAAATTAGTGTTGGTTTTTCTACTCGTAATCACTAACCAACCAGCCGATATGTACACCCTGCAACTAATACTCACAGTACAACAATGGTAACAGGTGCATCAAAATATGATGCTAACATGGCGGTTGCTTCTATATGATCCATGGCACACTTTAGAGCTATTTATGGTGCTTTAGAGCAATTTCTGGTCACGATGGATCCGCGCTTTTGCAGACGGTGTATTTAAGGAAGAGTGGGCCGCGGTGAATTGTCCAGCCTAACGTGGTCCGTTATTTGTCTAACCTTCGTACTTTCGGCTCTGTTTGGCTTCGCGTGACTTGGAGCTACTTTGTCACAAAATGACAATAAAAAAAAGGTCGCAGTTATGCTTCACCACCACAACCTTTTAGGCTCACCAATACGAATTGGGTCAAGAAGCTCCAAACTGTTCGTTCTTTTATTTGAAACAAAACCAAAACACTGCAATAAACAAAGCCCGTTCAAAGCCCAGAAACACAAATACTACGCAAATCCACGTTCTAACCATCATTAACATGGTTGCTGAACGATCGCAGAGCAGGAGGGTTCTCTAGTTATTTTTAGGGAACTCTGGCTGACATGCTCAAGTGTGACATCATCTAGCTTTCGAACAGCCCATGGGCATATCCAACTGTCCTTGTTAAGAAGAAGAATGGGTTGATTCACTTTAATGTTGCTTACCATCGTCTTAACAAGATCACCTGGAAAGACGTTTACCCATTTGCGAGAACTGACGAAGCCCTTGACTGCCTTAAAGGCGGGGAGTTCTTCTCTTCTACCAGACTGTACCACCATGACCAAGCATCCACTTTATCCTCTAGTCTATAGGAGTGGCCATTGGCAAGTCCTCGGGTGCCTGACGACCAGCCTAAAATGGCCTTCATCACACCCGATGGCCTTTATGAATAACGGGTCATGCCTACAGGTATTTGCAACACGCATGAAACATTCGTGTGCATGATGGACAACTTATTATGAGGTCGTAAGTGCAGAAGCTTCCTATTCCATTTGTATGAGGTGATTGTATTTTTATCAGATTTTCCAATGCACCTCCCTATAGGCTGAAAGAAGTACTGCATAGCCTAACAGACGCTGGCCTTCAGCTGAACCTGAAGAAATGCCGATTTGTAGCAAGGCAGCATGCCATCGTTGGCCACATTCTATTCTTCCAGACACTGCAACGAGTTGCCATACACATAGGTGTATAGCAGCTCATAGTATACTACATTAAAAATGTGAAGACATGCATGAGATAATAGTGACACCTATTGAAACAAGTTATTGTGCTTACATTCAAAATTGTAGCCATAATATACCTGGGGTATGTTAAAGCTATGCCAGAAGAATGTCGATTGACTTGGATACAGCTATCAGTTTGCATGCACTGCACTTCTTTTGGGACTATTAATTTACTAAACGTAGGCATTGGCAAGAAAAGATGGTTGATGCAAAATAGTGTAGTAGCTGAGTCAGTGCACTTACCGCAAGCATTGTGCTCGATGTCGTCTCTTAAGATCACCTGGCGGAGGAGATGATTGGGCACAGCGAGCCTGCAGAAGTCGATTATTCATGTATAAGTGCTCAAAGACAAGCTCCAGTGATCAGGACTACTGGACTACTGATTTGCAGTAATTTTTGTAAGAAAGAAACATTCACTTTGGAGCACTTTTTAGTGCCAAAGAAATTCTCACATTAGAGGCGCCGTGGAGCAGATAATATACAACTTGGTGTACTTCGTAGCACTTCACATACCAACCCCTTAATAATAAAGGTTAAGCATTTTTATGAAAAGTTAGATAAATGTTATCGCGATTGCAATATGGACCGTTTTGTTGGGTTTTTGAAGTCGTCATCATGTCCTGTACTATATACATCAGATGTGTTCAAAAAGAAAGCGAAATTCTTCTATAACACATATACTACTAGTGGTACAACCTTTTAAGCATTTTCCCACCTGAAACTATTCCCCTCTACTAGCAATACACTATTCCCATCGTTTCTTCCATTTCTGGAAGCCTCAGGCAATGCACTTTATTGAATGGCCCGCAGGTCTTTTCTCGCGATGTCCTGAATGTCCTCTGTAGTTTGGAAATGGCATCCTTTCAATGTGGTTTTACGTTCAGGATAGATGAAACAGAAAAAAATTTTATGGCATTATCCTAAGCTATAATAACCATGACAGCCACTTCTCGAACTGTCTAACAAAGATTTCCTCTAATAACAACTCTAGACGTGGTTGTTGTGGAAGGTCATCTAAGCTTTCGATCGTCACCACCCGACATTGAAAACGTTCAAAACGCTTTAACCACTCACAGCATTGCGTGCGACTCGTACAATCTTGCCTGAACACATTGTTGAGCAACTGAAATATCCCTTTGAAAGTTTTCCAAACCTCTCAGTAGAACTTAACACACACATTGTTCTTCGAGCTATTAGCTTTTTGGTACTACTAATTTGAAGAACAACTTGTAAATTTGCTCACTTTAGTGGCTGCAGCTCGTAAACTAACGGTCAGAGCGAATCGTGGCAGATGACAATTTCTAGTTTAAGGTTGCCGCTATGTGCGGTTAGTAGCTGCAGTATGCGCCCTCCGGTGCTTAAGTTGACGCTTTATTAAAAAAGTTCAGTTTTTGAAAACAGCTTGTCTCTCTCTCTGTGTGTGCGCGTGTGTGTGTGTGTGTGTGCGCGCGTGCGTGTGTGTGTGTAAATATATATATACTTGAATATATACATATAGTCAAGTAGATCCTCAAGGAAAATTGTTACAACGGAAGCATTTATTTCGACAATTGCGGCCAGATTTGGCCTTCGTCAGGAATGAAGGTAAATGCTGTTTGCACCCACATTTATAATATTTTGTTCGAAAATATTAGAGGGGAAGAACGGCAACGGCAAAAAATAGAACAAAATAATAAAGAGAACAAAATAAATAAAAAGATTTCAGGGGTCACTGCACAATGACAGTGGCATCATGAGTGCTTATTTTCTTAGAAGCTTTGCGTTCAGTGTATTTGGTTGGTAGTCGCTTTCGGTGTAGATGGTGGCCTGCTAAAGTAAGGGCTCGCGTGTCGCGGAAGCCCTCTCTTTTTTGACCGACCGTCACTAATCAGGCGTTCGCCAGAGATATGGTCGGACTGTAGGTTGGCGTGGAGTGGGCGTTTAAAGTGAATACTGTTTTATTCTGAGATTCCGCGATCGGGGGCTCTTAGTTGCATATGCAGTGGCTGTTAGATTTGTCGGGCTTACAACCATTCATATAGAGATGAACGAAACAAAAGATATATAAATGAATTACAATAGCACATAAGAAAGGGTGGTTACACTACAAGAAAATATATTTGTAAATGTCCAGTCATCATCGCAGTTATGTATACAGTGCCGCGAAATATATATGGGGTTAAGCGTCCCAAAACCACCATATTTTTCCCTGTAAGGAGGAAGAAAAACAATGCGCCGCAGTGGGCCATCTCTTTAGCAGAAACGTTGAGCGCGAGCTGTTGGCCCTATCGGAGTAATTCCTGTGTCGGTCGTTGCCATCCGCTTTCAATATCAATAGATGGGCTGTGCAAGTGCTGTTTACATCAATAAACCCCGTTTCGGAGTGACCCACTACGGCGTATTGTTCTTCTTCCTCTTTACATAACAAACAATTCGGGCAGTACGGAGAAAACTATTTATTGTGTGTCAACTAGTCGAACACAAGGGAAAACCAAGAAGCGTTCTCTTGCTTGCTCGGGCGACTCCTCGCTACTTCTTCCTCTCCTCTAGCTCAGTCCTCCACGATCCAATCCCGTGCACTGAACGCACATGTAGATGTGGCCGATTCTTGTTAGAGTTACTGTATATGCTCCCAAGCATTTACAGTAACTCTAATTCTTGTAGCTACAGTGCACCGTTGTCTACTAGGAGGGCTTGTATAATAATAATTTTATGGTATGCGTCAATACGAATATGAGAGACACAGTAGTGAAGGGCTCCAGAAATTTCGACCACATTAACTGCGCTCAAATCTGAGCACACACAGGCCTACAGCATTCTCGCCTCCATTGAAAATGCAGATGTCTCAGTTGGGATTCCATCCTGCGACCTGTGGGACAGCAGCCAAGTACCTTAGCCACTAGATCACCACGGCGGGGCAAACTTTTGAGCGACTGCAAGGCCAAGTCGTTGGGGGACAAGTGACAACTGATATAGTTCTAGTATATGCAGCTAATGATCATTAGTTTACGTGAATCACCGTTCTGGTGCGATGAAGTGTGCCAAAAAGACGATAATAAGATGGGCTATATTTACATCTGCGCATTTTAACATGCTTGAAATGACGCCTAAGGAGTGTTCTGGAAGCTGAATGCGTGCCTTCGACTCGGCTGCCTGGTAATTAAAGCCTTCAAAGGTGGTACAAACCAGTGCACAGTAACTGCGAAGCACGCTGTTAAAACAAGATAGCCTTCGGGAACTTAAGAAACAGTGTGAAACTGGCATGATAGCATTCAGCCGCCCCTAATATAAACATTGTGGTAGCGTTACATGTGCTCACGTTATTAATGAAACAATCGAGCGCATTGGAGCTCATATACTCCAATGGCAGCATATCCTGCTCTAGAATGCTCTAGATGTCTGACTACCGACATAAGCATTGTAGGTTTTCATCAATGCTTTGTTACTCACTTTTCGTTGTGCGTTCGTATTCAATTATTTCGCATCACGGCTCGATGTTATGCTTCCAATACGCGCATGAATCGGGGAGCACCATGCGCATCCATGCGAAATCCGATCGTAGCATCCTTTGACGGTGAGCACCATCCTCAAACAGGAAATGACTCTGTGCAATTTTGCACCTGCACATTCATTTGTGCACCATGACGCGTAGCAGGCGTTGAGAAGCCATTTAAAGCTCAGTAATGGGTACCAGCAGTGCAAAAGTTGGAGGACCCTTAAGCTTCGCCTTTAAAAGTTGAACGCGATAACGAAATCCGGCCCCTAGTGCACACTTTAACCACTAAGTGCATACTGAATCATATGTTTTGTTACATACACACACACGCTCACAATAGATTGGACCAGCGCGTGCTATTATCACCGAATGGGCTCGTTTTCGTCGTGACACCTGTGGAACAAAATGCGTTAAAGGGGCCCTGAAACACTTTTTCACGTAACCATGGAATGAACTCACTAGAAGTGCTTATTGCCTCTCGAATTCAACGCCGCAAAAATTTTAAGAATCCGTCCAGTGCGAGTGGACTTACAAAGGTTTGTCGCATGCTGCAATTGCATTACCTCCTCTCTCGTCCAGACGAAAGCGCTGGAAGCTAAGCAGGGAGGGGTGGCAGGGCAAAGAAACTACCACGCCTCGTGACCTTGAGCACTTTTTTTTTTTCTTCAAATGCGCAACTTTAACAGTGTGATCGCGCACGGGCACGCGTGGACAACCTCTTGCGGCTATTTGGGTAACTAGAGTTCACAGACGATTTTAGGGGCGAAGCTCCTTAAAGCGGCACCCGTTCGTCTCTCGTAGTCGTAGTGTGTAACCAGTGTTACATTTTGACCTGCAAGGTGGTGCCGGTGGGAGATTTCTCCTGTGCTTTGTTGAACAATAAAACGTTCGCGGCATGCGCGTTACCTAAAAGATGAATGCTCCTGTCTCATTCCCCATTAGCAGCCATTGGCATGTACATTCAGCACTATCTGACAGGAAAAGGTTGCTACGTTATACTCGCTCGGCGTAACCTCCTTGGTTTTAGAAAGGTTTCGCGAGCGTTGGGCCGCAGTGCCATGAATACAGTGAACTAGTATATACCATGAACTCGGGGTGGTTAAAGGTGGGAAGAAGACAGGAAGGGCAAGCAGTAAGAAAGTGCGGGTGCCTCCTCTCGTTTAGTCCTTAAAATGTCCGCTGGATGGCGGTGCATATGCGGAATATGTGGTGAAAAGATGCGAGATGATGGTACTTGGAGTGTTGAATTGATGGACGAACAAACACACAGACAGATGCATGGATGGACGCAGGGGCGGATGCATGGACCAACGCAGGGACGAATGCACACACGGACGATCACACAGACGGACGCATGGATGGACAGAAGCAAGAATGAATGGACGGACGAATGCTTCGCCCCACTCTCAATCATTCACTCCTTGGATATGCTGCCATTTTTTTCTCTCTCATGCTTCGCATTTGAAAGAACTTAAAAACGTGCTTGGCAACGTTTAATGCTAGAACCTTATCTAGTGAGGGAAGTCTAGCTGCACTATTCGAGGAGCTAGAGGGTGTTAAATGGGATATAATAGGGCTCAGTGAGGTTAGGAAGACAGATGAAGCCTATACGGTGCTACAAAATGGGCACGTTTTTTGCTACCAAGGCTTGGCAGACAGAAGAGAACTGGGAGTGGGTTTCCTAATTCACAGAAACATAGCTGGCAACATAGAGAAATACTGTAACATTCATGAAAGGGTGGTAGGTATCGTAATTAAACTGAATGAAAGATACAAGATGAAGGTGGTACAGGCTTACGCGCCTACATCCAGCCATGATGACGCTTCAGTTGAAAG